GCTTTGAATCTCTTCTGTGCCCAACCTGTAGCTGTGCCTGGGATTGCTCCGACCCAGGTGCAGGACCTTGCACTTGTCATGGTCAAACCTCATGAGGTTGGCATCAGCCCACCTCACAAGCGTGTCAAGGTCCCTCTGGATGGCATTCCTTCCCTCCAGGGTATCAACCGAACCACACAGCTTGGTGTCATTGGCAAACTTGCTGAGGGTGCACTCAATCCCACTGTCCTGCTTACCTGTTAAAAATTGCATGTTGATGCTGCCTTTACAGTGCCCAGGCTTTGTGGACATGATAAACCAATGTTTGAAATTAATCCTTCACTTTTTGAGCCATAAGAATTGATGGGTTTTGTATACTCTTATTTCTTCATTGTGCAGTCCACTAAAGGACTGCAGTCATCTTGGCAAAGGTAGTTGCGATGATGCTGTGGAATTATCTTGGGAAGAGGAATGGAGTGAAGAATAATTCAGATGGCTTCATAAGGAAAGATAAACAACAGCATATGTTCAGGGACAATATGTGGCTTCTGGGCAAAAAAAGCAGTACTAGAAACTTATGTCGGGCCAGTGAGGCTCCTAGTTGGTTTACTCTGTCAGACATAAAATGTGGATACTTAATTGGACTGGGGAATGAATGGAAACTGGAAGTAAGTATGTGAAGGGGAAGACAGCAAATGAAAGAAAGATGCTACAGGGACTGTGAACAGCTGTACTTGCCAAAGAACTGTAAGAGTGTAGACTGCTGCTGGAAGGAGGTGCATTGCAATTAATGACTTGCTGCTTTTATGGGAAGTAACTTGATTCTCTAGGCTTTCTGAATGAGAACCTGCAGGGAAAAGAACACTGACTATAGTACAACCAAATCCTATGGGATGGCTTGCCACTTCATAATGCTGGACCAGTGATTTATATGCTGTTTATAGTCCTCTGTTTCTTTCTGAGATAAACTAATAGAGCATGTAACTTTTTAGTAGCCTACTTGTGTGGGAAGTAAATAGTGTGAGTCCTTTGTTAATTGAGTTAGTGTTGGAAAAGAAGACCTGCCTTCCAGTCAAAAAAGAGAAATATACCTACCTGTGTTCATTTGGATCTGTTATTGGCATAATCAGCTGGGCAAGTGGCTATTAATGAACATCATAAACACAGTTTTTCTCCACAGAGGCCAGAAGGAAAAATTCAGGAGTCTTAAAGGAGGGGTTAGGGGAGGCAAACCCTCCAAAACAAGCATTCTCACTTTATCACTCCGGGTGAAGCAGCGTAAAGCATCTGGTGTCTTATTGGTGGCAACACACTTTCCAAAACCAGAATGTGTAATCCAACGTTAGCGATGTAGGAGAGGTGACAATGTCACCATTCCAGAGGTGACATTCCCAGTGAGTTTGGGGAAAAGAGGGATTATATTTCCTGTCATTTCATTAAGATGTAATTGTGTGTAACTGTCATTGTTTAGAGACGCTGATGTTTTTTTTGGAGACAAGGTTTTATTTCAGCAAACCTTAAGAACAAGGGTGATTTTATTTTTTCAGAGCTGAATATGTAGGTCAGTTTCCTGCAGTAAATCTTGGTCCTGTCACCTAATGTGCAGACTGGTAATGACAGCAGGGAAGGGATGTGGACTACCCTACCCCTCCAGATTTACCAGTGGTGAAATCATGGTGGACTTGTACTGTACCAAGAGCAGCTATCTGAAACAAATTGCTAAACATCCAGTTTTGTAACTAAAAATGCATGCACTGTCTCCTGATACTTCACTTTCAGTCTATTAAATTGCAGTGAACTGATCTGCTGTGCAGTTGTCCTTTATTGACTAGTCTTAAGATTTTTTTCATATGGAACTCACTGACCTACTGTAGGTCCCTCACACACTGCCCCCACACACCCATAGTCAAAAATAAACATGCTTCAGGATCAGGAAGCTGTTTGACGCTCTTTTTGTGGAATTATGTAGTCTGTTTTTAAGTTATTGAATTTATAGTATGTTACTCCAACTTAAATGGACATGAATGTACTGATATGCAGGTTGGGAGTTAACTTGGGGTATCGATGTAGTACAGGTAAAACTCCTGCTTGTTCTCTAAAAATCATTCTGTGTAAACAGTTGCAAACCTTTTCTATAGTAATGGTAACTCTAAGGTAGATTTATAGACCTTGTTGGAAACTTGCTTTTAAATATGGGGGTTCATACAGAACAATAAATTCTGGTACCAGTGCCATGAAACCAGTGTTTGATCTGATTTTGCTGTTGACTCTGGTTGTGTGATTATGTAAATCACTCTGTGGCTTTATTCTTGACTGATGGTCTGAAAATTTAGGAAGAATTTGTCCTTCTCTCCCAAGAGTAAAATGTTCTTATCTGCAGTTCAAAGTCTTGCCTGAAAGACAATCCCAGTAGTCTACCAGAGACAGCCAAATTTTATTCTGCAGGTATTGCAGTTGTAGACCAAAAAGTTCCACACAAGTCGTGTGTGATACATTTACAAATGGATACATTCACAAATGGATTAAAAGCGCTACTTTCAAAGCATTCTTCTGTAGGCTGCAGTTACTGTAAAGTTTGAATTACTAAGGCTGCGTTCCAAAGCTTGCAGCTGCTGTGTAACTATTACTGATTTTTATTCTTGAGTGTTTTTTTCCCTCAAAGTTGCTTGAAACTTGAGTAGATAGTGTTACAGCTAGCAAAACCTGGTGATGAGGCACTGCTTATTCACAGCTTGAGGAAGCAGAGGGTTTATGAGCCAAAAATGATGCCTTGAAAGGGTAATGGGCCTACGTGCTGTTGCTAACTCTTCACAGCTTGTTTTTGAAGTTTGAAAGCAGTGAACATACTTATATCTGAGATGCATTTTTTGTTTTCTGCTGACCATTTTCATAATGTTTGATCTCATTTTCAGATCAGGCTTTATTTCTATTGCTCTGTTAGTTTTAACTTTGATTGTTATGCTTTTGCCTCTTCTTGCTTCCATTCCTGTACTTGAAATGGGTTGAGAACAAGGAAAGGTGAACTGTAATACTAGGCAGTCTTTCTTTAAAAGCACAGCCTCTGTGCAACATTCTTTTTCCTTCCAAACCTTATGGGAGCACTAAGCAGTTTATCTTCACATTTTTGATCCTTCTAGACCTTAAAGAATGTGCACATGCTTTAGTCTGTTTCCAGTAGCTTTATGGCTTAATCACTTTAAAAAAAATAATTTATGTACAAAATTATGTGCTCACAGTGTAGTTTACAGCATTAAAAGACTGCAGTTACAGTATAGCCTGTCTGTCCTTCAATAGATCTGTGTTCTGTGTAAAACCAGACAGATTCTGACAGGTTTGCTTCCATACGTAGTGGTTATTAGCATTTTGGGGGTAATAATCCCCAAACACTAAATAAGAGGTTTATTTAGCCACTTTGCAGTTAAGGGAATAGTTTTTCACATCAGCTTGTTGGGAAGAAAGTTTGCTTCAAAACTGGGTAAGTTTTACCTTTAAGAACAGAAAGATTTGCAGCATTGGAGTGACGTCTGCAGCATGTGAGATGTTTAACTACTTTGATAAGAAATAGGTTTCACTGCAACACGTGTGACTTAAATATGGATCTCTAACAGAAAAGCTGGCGCTACACTATTGAATTTTAGTCTCTTGGAAAAACAGTTGCATGGCAGTGGATTTTTTTGCATGTTTTTCCCCCCCTGTCTTCTAACAACGGCTAATGAAACTAACTTTCACAAGGGGTAGCATGCCTTGCACAGATGGAGTGGGTGCTTTCTTCCTCTTTGGACTTTACCATCGGGTTTCTAAACACCTGCTGTGTAACACTTACCTGGACTCCCTGTAGTGTTCTAGATACTTAAGGATACTCTCAGTTTTTTTGAAGGGAAGTGGAAAAAGTTGTTGAAAGGTAAGTGGAAGTAAAAAGGTCCGTTTCAAAGGAAGCCTAGGTATTTTTAAGTCATGGAGGTTTATGGGCACCTCATTTGTAAGCACTTGAATTCTTGACATTGTGGAACATTTTTACCTTTTAAACTTTCATGCAAATAGGAGTACAGGAACACCTGGTTTTGTTCTTCAGCATTGCCAGTTCTTTCAACATCTTGAAGGAGTTGTTTTGTAATGACATCTGGTTAATCGAGAAGCTGGAACATGAAGGAGTAGTAGTTTTGTTGATACTGCTTTATTTGATCAATACTGACACAGAATTCTAATGTTGCTATTGATACTGAATGTTTGATTTTTCCAGGTGTGTATTTATCTAGTATAATACCTCCTTCAGCTACTGTGCAAATGTTGAAATACACCTGCTGTTGTGTGACTTGTGTAACAGATTTTCCCCAAATACAGCTGTTCAGTTTTCTGCTTTAATTTATTTTTCAGCAGTTAACACAATTGTTTTCTGTTTCAGGGTGGATTACAAGAAGTGGCTGAGCAGCTAGAGCTGGAAAGGATAGGACCACAGCATCAGGCAGGATCTGATTCTTTACTCACAGGAATGGCCTTTTTCAAAATGCGAGAAGTAGGTGGACATACTGGTTTTATCTCCATGATAGTAATGTGCTGTGGTAGGCAGATGAGTTGCTGATTCTGTTAAGTCTGCTGTATTTTAAGGAGGTCAGGGTTCACTCTTGTCAAAGATAAGACCACCTGTGTTTTTCCCAGCGTAAGTGTGAACCAGCCCTACTGATTCCCTGCTTAGATGCTGTGAGTGCATATTGCTTCTTATTTCTGTGCCTGGCTTTTGAAATCTTTTGTGGGTTTTTGTTTTTTTTCCATTACCTGTTTTGCAGGGTACCATTTTTAGGTGGCTTCAGAAGTGAGTATATGAGCTGCTGGAAACATACGCCATTCAGGGAGTGTAGTTCCCATACTCACACGCTGAAAGCCAACTCTCTGGAAGCTTCTGCTCAGTATAGTACTTGGCTGGCGTGCACTGCTGCTTATGGCAGACCTAGAGGGGGAAAGTGTTGACTAGTCACAGGTTAAACTTGCAGGCTGTAGGTACATTAAATAATGACTTTCAGGCATTTGCCAGTACATTTGAACATGGCATTCTGCTATTAATTCAGTGTTGCTTACCATGTCAGAATGGATGGCAGTAGTAAACCTCATCTTTTAATAATGTTTAGTATGAAGTGTCTACCTTCTGTAGTGTACCCTTTTTTATAAAGGAGAAAATGACCACAAGTTTCTGACAAATACTAGTGAGACAGCAAGTAAAAATAAATGCTGTGATTTAAGCTGGTTTGCTCATTGTAACACTGTTCTGCTTCCACTGGAACTGCAATTGTCAAGCAGGTCATAGGCTACAGATGCAGTAGAGAGATTGTGTTTCTGGTATGATCCAAGGCCAGTGAGGCTAACTGCCATCTGCCCAGTATTGTTCTTTCATTCTTGAATTGGAAATAAAATCCAAAGCAAATAAAGGGAAAGAGGAGGTATGTGAAAACCATGCCTAACATACTGCCTTTCAAGTTAGCTTTCTAGTGGAAAAGGTTCAAACCCGGGACCATTCCTCTAATGAGATGCAATTTGTGTTATATGGCAAATAAGCTTCTTGAAGTTTTTTACCAAAAGCTGTTATTGGGAGAAACTCTGTTTTTTAGTGCAAAGCAGCCAACAGTCATGGATTTGATTACGATTTTTTTCAGTTCTTTCTCTGATTCTTTGCTAATGCAGCCTTTCTAAATAAGGGCACAGTACTCAGAAATAGTTAATGTGCATTTTTAAAGTATTTTCAGTAGAGTTCATTGTTTAACAATGTATTTGAGTGAAAAAACTTCATTTTACAATGCTTTTGGAGGTAGACAGTTTATTTTACTGATTGCTGTGAAGGATTTGCAGCTTGCTTGCTGGGTGTTGGAGTGCCAGCCAAAAAAAGTTCCTGATACATTTCTTCCCATCAGAAACACTTAAATAGTGATTCTACAACAGTAGAGCTGCTGTTTTGGAGTTTTCCTACCTAATTATTTTAAGAATTGTTGGGGGCTTTAAAACTTCTGAGGTATACAATTCCTTCATTACAGAACTTCCCATTCAGACTGTGGTGCTCGAAGTAAAGCTTGAAGGGAGAACTTTTCAGCCTGGATGGTATATGCAGTCCTCTGCATTCAGATTGTGTATTGTGTCCACCCTTCTTCTGCGTGATTCTGGCTGTCTTAGGTTTCTGATGTTGATGATGACTTGGAATGTCAGCCACTGGGATGTGGTTCACAGTGGTTTACAGCAGAGTTGCTGTGAAGTTTTTAGTGTAGGTGGCTGTCTTCTCGTTTTTGTGGGGTAACTCATGGTTTTGCTTGAAAACCTGAGTCTGAAAGATAGAATATCACAGGTTACATATGTCTTACACTGAAAGGTTCTCTTTACAATTAAGACTTGTGTAAATGCAGTCTTACCATAAAATTTAAGTAAATTTTGTGCTTCCTTATTAAATGAAGTTCCTCTCTGTGAGGGTCTAGCTGGAAATACGTTGTTCTGCGTTTCTTTGAACTCCATAATGGGCTTTGCGCTCAAACATTCTACCCGCACTCAAGCCTTTATTATATAAATGAGGACATACCTCCATTTCAGGGCACAGTATGATGAAAACACTCATACTGAGGAGTAGGTAGAGTATGGGCACCAATGACGGATGCCAAGCATATGCCTGTTGCGGGAAACTCCACAGAGATCAGTTGGAGAAATCTCTTTGCTGCACCCGCAGAGAAGCGGGTGATAACCGATAATACAAAATTACCAAAACATTCCATTTGTCTGTTTCATCAGGAAGGGTGCACAAGGAGACTGATTGTATTTCTTGACAGATTTGTTTTAAAGAATCATGTCATATAAGCACATTTTGATAATGTGTTAAGTGTGTTATTCTGTTAATTATATCAGCTTCTGCACTTTGGGATTTCATGTGTTATGCTAAAAAGTAACTTTTTAACACCTTTCTATAGTTCTGTTTAAATTGAGCCATTTCTTTGGCAATAATTTGTATCTCTCTTTTAACTCTTTAGATGTTCTTTGAAGATCACATTGATGATGCCAAATATTGTGGCCACTTATACGGCCTTGGTTCGGGGTCATCTTATGTACAAAATGGCACAGGAAATGCATATGAAGAAGAAGCCAACAAACAGTCCTGACATGAAATGAAAGGCCATCTTTTTGACCTCCACGTGCTTGTATATAGGTTTTATCTCTGGTTGAACCCCTTGGACAATAAGGCTTTTTTCCCCCTTTCTCAGCACACTTTCTTTTCTGCCTTTCTACGTACTAAACTTGACTGTTCCTATCACAGGATTTTGATCTTAATATTGATATATAAAATTTTCTGGATTACATTTTGGCCTCATAACTAGCCCATTTGTAAAGAAGCATGTATAGGATCAGTGTGGCAGAGAGAAGGGGAATGTTAAATCATAATGAATTTTAAGTCTGGTAAACTTACCTGTATTGATCTTCTGGTGTTTTGTCTCTTTTTCCCCTCCCTCCTCCAAATTAACTGGCACTGATTGTAACTAACTTTCCCCATTCATGTCTGTTCCTTCCACTACGCAGGCGTTTTAGCTATTCAAGATTGTGGACCATCAAATTTGCACTTTAGAGAGTGACTCTGACTCAGATCCTCTGTTTTAGTTGAAGTTTTGTTTTGTTCTGTTTGTTTGCCCTGAGCTAGAAAACAATCATCTGCCAAGTTCAGCAGCTTCACGCTGTATTGCCTTGGTATCTCAACCCACAGAACGTGACTTACTTGCTGCATAACCTCTGTCTGTTCGAGCAAAACAAACTACTGAAATCATAGTAACTGCTGTTATTTTACTAGTGTTCGGTCATCTTCAAACACATCCTGCACATGTCAACTGCTGGTTGGCCTTCTGCTTTAAAACCGCTCTGTAACGGGGGAAAGAGGCTTGAAAAAACAGCTTTACACCCTTCAGGAAAAGAACAGCTATGACTTCAGCGTTTTTGTCATGAAGCTGAGAGTTGAAGGATACTGGAGTTTCGGAATGGCACGCTTCCCTTGATTAACTTCCTAGCTTTTATTCTGGTAATGTACACCTCAGATATTTTTTATGAAGTCATATTTATTACGTACTTGATTTCACGATTTTTGAAAGTCAGTTTAATTAAAGACAAAACCCAAAGATCTGAAAAAAATACTATTTAATTGAATTAGAAGGACAATTAAATCGTGCTTTTTTGTAGTTGTTACAAAGACAGATGTTGCAGATATTTGTTGTAAAACAACAAAATATAAATAACTTATAGCTAATAAAGTTACCTGAGGAGTGTAATGCTAGTTTATTTTTGAGTATATCTTAGCAATATATTTTAGATATATTGTTTTAAAGGACCCTAAAGGACATTCTTAACTCTGCATAGCACGTGTACAGAGCAGTTGTGCAGGAAGGACTTTGTGGTATTGAATAGCTAAATACTAGCCTGAAATGATGGAAAGTGCGACACCGTGTGCCTGCGTGCTCGCGCGTACCTGTGTGTGTGCTTGGCACAGAAATCAATAGTAGAAGAATCTCCAAATGTTCGCCAAATTACTCTGGTTTACCTTGTACTTAAAAAAATCAAAACACCTTTTTTCATGGAGTTACAATGATGTAACTGGGTGGTCCTTTTTAAACAACAAATAATTTGCATAACAGAGGGTATTTGTTATTAAAGCTTTTGTAAATAAAGGCCTAAGAAATGTTTTCTTACATAACAACACACTGGTGGTTTTCTTGCAAAATTTTTCCTGGTGTATTTAGTCAGTTCAGTTCTGCATTCTGGTTCATTTAGGCATGACGGTTCTCTTCCGTGTGCTTATAAAATGATCTAACTCACTGCTCCCTGACTGATTCCATTTCCAATGCAGAATTCTCTTTGTGTGTTTCCAGTCACTTCATTCCTGCTGATGTAAGTTGCAAGAGTGGTGGTTACAATTTACTATGGAGGCATCCAAATCCCATTAGTAACTAATTTTAATACCATTATGCATTATATGACGGTGATTAGTTTTAACTTTGATTGCCTTTGGCTTTAATAAGATAGGGAGTATCTAACAAAAAAACAGGATGGATTCTTACTGTGTGTTACCTGGCACATTTGCATACACATGGAATGAAGAACCCCTGAAGTTTGATGCCTTTGCTTTAAAGTTTAGTAGCTTTGCCTGAAGCATGCCAATACAGCTCACTGGGGTTAACTTTTGAAAGAAATGGCTCTTCAAAGAACCTTGATGGCTTTTTGTTTTGAAGTAACTTCTTAGTTGAGGGTCGAAGGAAGATTAAGAGGCTTCTGAATGTGTGCCTACAGTAAAGTTTTATTTCGGATTCGGATGCACTTTTGAAGTGAATGGTGAGCATCCCACATGCTGTGCTGTGTTTTTCTTTGCTTGCCATCATGAACCTGTCAGAACTTGGGTTCCTTTTGGAAGAAGCTAAACCCAAAGATATGCGATAGGTGCGCACCTTGTGTCCCAGGTGCTAATGAGCACACTGTCTGCAGGACCAGGCTGAGTGTGCTTAAACCCAAGCCTAAAATTCTCATAGGGTGTTTGACTTCCAGCAATTCTCCTGTTTAGTTTTCTTTCTGTAAGAAAAGCTTTTCTCATAAAGCCACAAGTCAGCATGAAATGAAGATTATGCTTTATTCTGTGTGAGAGCTCAGTCTGATCAATGTGATCTGGCTGGGAGCTGATTAGAGCTGGGGAGACATCTGTGCATCATTCAGTTTCCGTGGCAAAATTAGATTTAGGTTCCATTACGGAGTGATTTAAATGGTAAATTGTAGAGATTATGAAAAAAGTAATTTCTCCTTATGCGTAGGACTGTTACTTGTGAACTGCAGAGTCTGAAATCTGAATCTGTTTCCAAAGGGGGCAGCTTTAATAGCTTTTGCAAAAATGAATGTGCAGGCACAGTTCCAGCTGTCTAGACGTGCATCTTTTTGCTCAGAGATAAGAATTCTCTTGTCTCTCTCTGCTCTTCTCAATCCATTTAAAATACTGTTGTTTGAATAGGCTTGTCAGAAGAAATGCAATATCAAAACCTGTTATATTTACTCTTTTTATTATTTACTTGTATTTTTGGCTTCTAGAGTCAAATGAGTGTTTCAGGAATGTTATGTTCTCTGTCAGGTTTTTTAAAAGCATTTAATCCCTTTGCTCATTGGAACTAGGTAAGAAGGATCTTTGAGATGGAAGAAAATGGGTTTGGAAAATACTCAGAGTATTTGAGGCTTTTTCCAATATGAATTTGGGAGTGACCTATAACCTGACATCCAAGGACTTTCTCTAATCGTACCTGACTGGTTACACTCAAGCTCCAGAATGGTTCATTCCCTCACACAGGAAATAGAATGAAAGTAACAGGAAGCCTGCATTGATCGACAAACTCAGAAAGGAAGTGTACTGAAGGTGGAAGCAGGGACAGGTGACAGTATCTTCAGTGTGCTGGGGTCAGGTTAAGAAAGGTAAAACCTGTCTATCTGGATTTTGTTTTTCAAAGGGTAGTTGTTCAGACTTTGAAAGAAGGAGATATTTATATATAAAAGGATAAATACATAAAAAATCCAAATCTAAATCTGAGTGTTTTCATGGAAATAGTGATTTTCTTTGCTATGTACTCTTTGAAAGAAATAGTCACAGGTAGTTACATTGGGCGTGTGGGGCTGTGGAAATGTTTGAAGTTTTAGTGTTTTCTTCCTGCTTTCCTGCCTAGGTATGGTAAAGAAACGAGGATTTTCAGCAGTCTTGGGTTGGGAATGAGATGTGCATTGATGCCAACTGTGAGGATCTGGTTTCTGCAGAAGCTTGTCTTGTCCTTTTTCTGCCAGCACAGATGAGAAGTTTTTTCTGCCTCTGCTTAAGGGGGAGAATTGACTTGCCCAAGTGTGCCCTTTCCTGTGCTTACCCTTACTGTGTTGGGTAAAGGGAGGGAGGAGAGGGGAATCCTTCCCTTCTTTGTGCTTCAGGTAGAAATTGGCAACAGCTGAAGTTCTGAGATGCATTACAGAGACTGTGCTTTCTCTCTTACAGGGCAGCAAATCATAGCTATGATTGCAGTTGACAGTATCTTTTACATACCTTTCATCACCTAGGAGCTGAGCTTTGCAAGCTCCCTCTTTTCCTTCATTCTTGTCCCTCTGCATGCTCTGGAGTGTTTTATATGAAGGTTAATCACTAGAGTGCTTATATCCGCACTAAGCTACTGATTTTCTCTATTGCATCTGTTTGAACTACTGGCCAGTTTAATCTCATGATAAAGTAACTGGGAATAGGTTCCTGTTGTTCAGGCTGTAACACACAGCTTGTAAATGTCTTTATCTTTTTAACTGGGGCTCCTTCCCAAGTGAACAGAGAATGATTCTGTTTTCAGAAGGAAAAAAGAGGAAAATGGCTTCATAAAATGATGACTGTCAGGAAGTGCTGGGTCTGTTCCAGTTATGCCAATCCATTAAACTGTGAGTTTGCAGGAGGTGGGAAAGGGGACATAGCTCACAGCACGCGCTTCCAAATGCTGCAGTCAAACTGTTGGGCCCATCTGCTTGAGAAGATTGCAGTGATCCAGGATGGAGCATGTGATTGTTGCTCCAAATACTGAATTTCAGGATGACTGAGTCACTATTTATTTCAGTGATGGGTGCTGTTAGGAAAACTTGGGAGAAATGGAGTCCTGGTCTAGAATAAACCTTTTGAGGGAGAGGAATAAAGATGTAGACTTTAAGATTTAGCTGGACAGGGTGCTGGGACATAAAGCCTAGATGATGCTTTGGTAAGATAGGTTGGACCAGATGATTCTTGAGGTCTCTTCCAATCTGGTATTCTGTGATTGTGAAACTGATTGTACATTTCAAATGAAAGACTTTTCAATCTGAACTTCTATGGAAAGGAAGGGGAAGAGTGAGAATGATGATCAGAAATCTGCAAAGGGAACAACTGCAAAGCTGCAAAAGAGGAGGAGGAGAGCCTTTCCTTAGGTTACGTCAGCTGCTACTTGTTCCCGTTTTCACACCAGAAGGCTGCTGCTTTTCCCATTTTACCAGGTCAGTAATAGCTGCAAGTGAAGTGGCACAGAAACACCTCTCCACCCATGCACTATAGCAGCATGTGCTTTTTTTTAGTTGTTTTGGATGAGAATGACTTTATATGGTTCAATACAAATATGTATGGAAGGATAATGACTTTATGTGGTTCAATGCAAATATGTATGGAAGGGCTGGAAATCAAAAATGGGAAAAGCTCATAGCATATACAGCAGGTTATGTCTGACCTGCAGCAGGTGAAAGCCACTTTCATCCTCAGGTACCATTCCTGTCTGTTCAGAGGCCCCCGAGTAGACAGTCTCATTCCTCCCTGCACCAGAGGTAGATACACCACTGCCCCAGGGGACAGCTTTAGCAAAGTGCAAAGAGCACAAAGGCCCATCAGAAGAGCCTGCAAGTGACTGAAGAGCCCTAATGAAGCAAAAGCTGCTGTGGGTGACAGCCTGGTAAGTAACATATTCTACTTCCTTGCACCTCCTCAGTTCTATGAATCGTTAAAGCAACTAGGTTGGAAAAGATCTTTAGAACCCCCTCTTTTGGGGGACAAAATTCCACCTTTTTTACCTTCAACAGCATCCAAAGGAGTGCAGCATGTTCTGCTCAGCCAGCACTAAGACATCGAAGACAAATGGATCTAGTTTCCTGTTAACCTGTTTCCCCATACAGGTGCTGTGCGAGATGCTCTGGATCTAGAAATTGAAATGAGGACAGAAACCTTACCTATAAAAGTCAAAGACTGTTGGTGAAGGGATGAGGGGGGACATCTACAGCAACTATGTTGATGATACTGTAGCAGAGATGATGTTCTGCTGTTTGGGTACAGTCAATTACTACTACGTATGTGACTTGCTGAACATGAAGCATTTATTTATGTGAGCAATACATGAACAAGTGGCAAAGTTATACACTGAATTAATGTAGAAATATATTCCTCTCACACACACTCTAGCACACCAGCCAACTAAATCAGGGCAAGAACTCTCAGTCCAAATAATGATCATAACAGCTACAGCCCACCATGCACTAAGCCAGACTTACTTCCTGCAACCTGTCTCAAGTCTTGTTTGAAGACCTTAAGTATGCAAACAGTAAAAAACAATTAGCAGTTTCATTAATTACCTGCCCATAGTTACAGGCTACTAAAGAACTATCAATCTGCAGCTTAAACTGGACCATGGTTTTTCTCTCAAGTTAAAGAATTAAAATGCATAGCAGCACCCGTGTTTAACATCAAGGTGTTCCATTTTCTTCATAAAAATAGTTCTCTGTGAAGACTGAACACTCCATCACCAGCACATCACCTGACACAATGTGTGTGAGCCACCTCCAGTGCAGATGTGTACTGGTTCTATCCTAACCTAGAAATTAGGGGAGCTTCTTACGCACATGGGGGGCTATGATTCACATGACCGTTTACATATATACAAAATAAATTTAGCTCTGTTGTCATTAGGGAGACAATCCCATCTGAGGAGTGTGTAGAACTCGTCCAACTTCCACCAAAGCTTGACATGCAGTCATACTGCAAGACAAATATCAGGGCTATTACTTTCTTTTAGCAAAAAGTAGATTAATAACTGTACAGTAGGTAAAAAGCAGTCTTTAAAAAAAATACAGAAGTTACACAAAAGCCTGTAGTAAAGTGCCTAGCAAGAATATAAAGAACAGGAGAATCAATTTAAGTGGACAAACAACATTACCTCTTGCACAAATTCTACCATGTGCATTGTAACAGTATCAATGCTCAATGACAATATGTCAAAAAGACCGTTTCCACTTTGCTATATAAAGTATTATCTTAAAGCCAAGAATATAGCCCTATCAGAAATTAATAATTTGGAGCATGATTAGCTCACGCACTTTCATTCATACTCTATACAACGACTGCCAGGAACCCTCCAAAGCTCAGTGACAGTACTCTTCCCAGAAGCACAGCTCATACGCTTCCTGAAAGCTCTCTGGCACAGATCCGCTGAACAGTGAAATGAGCTACTGCCATTTCTCTTTCCCTTTCTTCTCCCTCATCAGCCTATGTTGTTTCCCATGCCTCCATCAGTTTTCTGCCAGAGGGACAGCCTCTGGCTGCATCAAAGCTGCAGGCTATTTAGGGCTATTGTGCTTTCCAAGTGACTTCTGAGACATGGAGAAGCCAGGGATTTCTTGACCCCTTACTCCTGTTCTTTCTCTCCACTGATCCCCAGCCTTACTGACTGCTGTCAGAGCCCTGGACATAGCCAGGGAGGCTGATACCTGTATCAGAGAGATCCATTACCATTATGAGCTTTGCTCAGGAAGAAATCTGTACTTTGTCTTTTATGTAAAAATATGGAGCAAGTCACACTGAAGCTGAACGTCAACTTTTTACTCAGTATTTTCAAACACATGCTCCGTGACAAACCACCCTGCCGCATAGAAAACAAGACTCTACAGCTAGAGAACCCAAAGGGTTAAAAAATATATTTTCCCTCTCCCCATTATTCTCTTGACAAGTCAGCCTTTAAACAAACACTAATACGAGGTAAGCTGACAGCACAACACTGAATGAATAGCTGCAAAAACTTTTGGTTGCTAGATGTCTGCAGGCATCATGTAAACTGTATGCCACCTTCATGCTAGTTTAAAAAAAGGTGTTCTACATCAAGGGATCCGCAATCTGGCACTTCTGGCAAGAAACATGTTTTCAGGCTGGTAAAGTTCTGAGATTCTATTAAAAAAAAAAGTCAAATAAGTACATTTTTCTCATTAAAAAAAAAGAAAAAGCCACGTTTGTGCTCCAACAGCTGTCACTGAAGTTGAAAACCCAGGAAAGACAGATTTTAAGGTTACCTGCCTGCAGTAGAGTGAACGGTACGATTTTTGTTTTCAGAGATCTCTCACTTTGTCCTGCTGCCAGTTTTCTAAGCACACTGGCATCTTCACACTGCGAACCAACCTGCTACGTGACTTGGGTTTGATAACAGACGTACCTTTCTGCTTCAACTGAACTGAGTTTAGTGCGAGAGGTTTTACCTTTTTCTTTTGGACTAGTCCTTTTATCTAGCCACCTAGAAAGCATTACCGAGTTTGTCCTAAAGTTGTTTCCAGAATAACAATTTGCATTTAAATGTAAACACTGATACCATAAACCTAGTGTATACAAAAGGCACGAGACAGTTAGATTTGTGTAGCTGAAACTTCCCTAACTTTGAAAGTTGATAATGCATCTTTTGTTCTCTGGCTGTTAAATTCTGATCCTAAGCAAGCTGCCAGCTTCTAACTCAATTGAAGGGGGTTCCTACATGCAGCAGCTTGTTTTTTTGGTATTGCAATCAAATGTCTGCTGTCCTGTAAAAGAAATACCACAAGTTATAACCATGTCCTTGACTGTACAAGGTATTAATTAAGTTATGCAGTAAGAAAGGCAGTGTCTTAAAAAACAACAGTGAAAAAGTGAAAAAGAAATCTGAGACAACTATTGATTAATAACAAATGAGGATTTGGAAAGACAGTGGCTCTCTGGAACATGGGTTGGTAAAAAGCCTTTTGGATCGAAGTTAAGTGCCAACATTCATTTCTCGAAGGGGCTAATGGCTCCAAATGGCACAATAAAATCCCCAATTTCTTTCTTGCACTGTCTTGTGCAACTCCAATCAAAATCCCCACCTGGCCACGTTCATTTATGTATTACCCATCTGAACACAGGCTTTTTATCACTCCCCTTCCCAGTGACCCACTGCAGCACTCAATTAACAGAGGACTTTCTTCACACACACCACTACCCCCCCCCCCCCCCCCCCCAACTTTTCCAGCTATTCATAGTTCAGATCTGAGGGACAACGGAGCTCTTGCAATCATGTTTTCCAAAAATACTTCATAAATAGTCCCACTTCACTGGGGTCCCCGTATCTGCAAAAGTTGCTTATCGAATGCTCGAAATAAAAACACAGTCCGCCAAGCCATTAAATTCTTCATAATCAACACTGGTTTGTTTCCAAATCTGTAAAGCCAGTATTGCAAAATCTTGATCTGGAAGTCAACTACTTACAGCAATTTGAATTAACAGTGAGTTTTCACAACCAAGGCAAGAACATGGACTGATATGTAAGGAGGTCACATCTTTCTTGTGCTGAACATTGAAGTAAAACCAGCCATGGAATTTTTACAATTGTAAACTCAGACTCTGTTTTTTAAATTTCCTAATACTCATCATCCTTAACCATTCCAAATCAGTAACTTTAAGTTGAAACACTCTTTATATGGTTCAGGAGTAGTATTATGTTTAGTTTCATGTTTCAAGCAGTGACATGGAGGCAGCTAATCATCTGTCCGTTTGTCTTCTGAGCACATCCACACAGGAGCAGCTGACCAACAGGGCTGATACGTGGAAGAATTCATTTTCCTTCCAACAACAGCTTTTTCTTGAACTGGAACATAACATTAATCACAACATACAGTATTAGAACTGAAGAACACTTTAAGACATTGCAACAAGCCTCATCAAATCAAAGTGGAAAGTGAACAACAGCCATGTGAAAAACCCGCGCTGAAGAGGAACCTGCTAAGACTGTTCACAGTTATGTTATTAATCCACTTCAGGGTGACAGTGATTAAAAACTGACTACACAGCAAGCAGGCACCAGTTTATAAAATTAAGTGAGCTATTGTTGCAGTACTTCCAGATACCAACATCATCAAAAAACAATTCTCCATCAATCGCATTTGTGTAAACTATATCTGGCACTCTCAGTTATCAGTCCCCTCATTAACTGTAAAATATTACAAAATACAAGATATTGAACACAGAATAATGTAATGGTTTGGGTTGGAAGGGAACTTACAGCTCATCCAGTTCCAACCTCCTGCCACAGGCAGGTATACCTTCCACTAGACCAGGTTGCTCAAAGCCCTGTTCAACCATCCAACATATCCTCAGTTAGGACACAAATTCAAATTACTAACACACTGGCAGGAACTGTGAGCTGTATTTTTCATGTCAAAGATTAAATTACTTGGTTTTGTTGTTACTTAAAAATCTTTATTATTCTATTCACTCCTTAGAAACAAATATAACTCAAATACTGACAATAAAGTAATGAAGTTAAAAGCAAAGTAGTTACTTCTACTTTTAAGGGCTCTCACTCCAGCAACTAAATGTCAGATATATATATAAACACACACATACATACAGTAATCTATCTTTTTTTTACATCTCCATAAAGTCTTTTAAGTGCCACACAGAAATATCTCAAACAGAGCTAAGGGTGCAAACAAACTGACACTTAATCTCATTCCAGAAAAATTATCAGTCCTTAGCTACTGCCCTTTTGAGATGCACATGTATCTGTCTAAGGCAAAACTAACTTCCAGAACCCTCTTTATGTGGCTTTACTTTTACTCTTTGGAACATAAGCTCCTCTGAAGGTTGTCTCTCTAAAAACCTGCATTTCAAAATGGATGCTCACAATAAGAAGTAATAAAAAAATCAGAGTCAAAAATTCCACCCCAAAATCTAGGGGCTGAGGTAATCAGATTGCAAACACAACCCTAATTGTTACTTTCTCAGATGGATAAAAGAAAAAAACAAATCAAAACAACAAACCAAAAAAGAGCATGAGATGTTTATCAAGATAAACAGCTTTAAAAAAAACACTTTGAGCACCTTGGGAACAATCACAGCCTATGTTTGAAACTCAGAATAATCTTAATGACAAAGTCCCAATAAAATGTACACATTCTTGAAAGAAAGATGAACATTTCAAAGTTATTGCTTAACAGGACTTTAGAAAGCAGAACTCTGGCTGGACAAAATTAGTTCTTTAAAACCCATCTCTAAAGCTTTACTTGAGTTGCGATGATATGTAAGATACTAAACTAGCTGAAGCTGAGTAATTTATTCTTCCCAGAAGCCATTCTGCAGAAAGAACTGGTAGAGGCATAGCATCTTACATTTTGAACAAAAGGCTGGAAATGAGATTTTTAGATTCTATTAAAAAAATGTACACAGAGCAGTCAAAATTGCAGAAAATGGCTGTTTCATTCTCTCATCTCTAACTCTTAATTTGACACCTACATTTTCAACACTAACACTTCACACCATCAAGTCTGTAGATGTACCTATATCTGGAACCATCTGCGTCTTCACTCGCCACGTAACACAAAACCAGAATGTAAGGGTCAAGAATTTTTCAGTTTCTCTGATGAATCCAACTGAACTTGTGGGACCTGTTTTGGTAGAAGCTGCAGGCCACCTGCTGCTGTCTGCACACCTACCATTTTTATCACTTGCCTTGACATTGCAATACCATGCCTAATGGATCTAGTAACAATCACTGCAGTTCTCTGATGGTATTCCATGCCTTCCACTTCCCCCAGGAGTGACTGAGAGCAACCTGACAGCTATCACACAGCATGTTCAGGAGCCATGTCATACACAAATGAAGGACATGCACTGGAAACACTTTTTCCAGGATGATTGAAAAGGTGCCTTCAATAGCAGAGATGGAAATGACCTTGCTGGAGCAACTCCTCTGATGTTGGAAAATTGTACATTATTCAGGATGCTGAAATTCTTAGGATTGGAGTCAAATCCTTTATCCAGCTTTAAATATTAAATAGCTGATTTCCACAGGCTTTGGTGGAGTTAAGAAACCTTTGAATATGAAAGTGAATATGATGATCAATTGTGTTCATTCCCTGCAACCCAATTACTAAGGTCTCCTCCTCTCATGTACATAACAGAATGTACTAACTGCTTCTTAAACCATGAAGTCTTTGTTGCAAGATACCAATGCAAGAAATCAAAAAAATCTTAGCTGGTTTTGACAACAGGTGACTCAGGAAGTCATATGGGCACCTTTTGTCTCCAGTAGGCAGCACGTTTTTGCTATTAAAGAGGATTCAGCTTAGTCCTTGGCACAGAAGAACAAGCTGGTAATAGCTTATGTATTCAAATAAATCTTTGTTCCTTCATCACCTGACAGATCTTTACCTGTTTTAGCAGATCAAGCTATGGTTCAGTGTTAAGAACTAACTTCATTTTCGAACTCAGAGTTACAAATATTTACTGGACTGTTTGAAGAGTCACAATTTCATTACCTTTCTAAAGAAGGGAATAATACTTTGGAATATTACCTAAAAGCAAAGGGTATAAAGGTTAAACTAGTTTGCAAACATGACATATCAAGAAATAGGAGATTTAGTTTAAAACTATGAATTCATGTGCTACTAATAATGGTAAAAATAATTAAATTTAAGAAAATAAAATAGGAATTGCTTTAGTAATTTTCTTTTGTGCATTCTTCAAGTGGTAAGGTATCATGGAAGCATATTAAGTACAGAGAATATTAACATACCTTTCCTTACATATTCAAAATGTTTCTTTTTAGGAAAATTAGGTTTCATTTTCCATGGTTAATGCAGGATTGCTCATACCTTTAGAGAAAAAAAAAAAGAAAAAAAGAGGCATTTCCATAGGAAAAGGTCTCATGTCTATTTCAACAAATAATACAGCCTTTAACAAGCCACCTGAATGTCATTCCACTATTACCAAGTCTATTCCTCTCCTGTGTCCATTACACAGCTTTTCACTAGGTGCAACAAGGTGTTATCCTATTCTAGTATAAGCAATTTGTTGCCAAAAGAACTATCAGGCTCAGCCTAAACGATAATTAGCATCTAATGGTACTAGAGTTCTCAGTATCTCTTGGTCAGGTTTAACTGGGAAGGAAACAGCAACTCAATACACAAAACTTCCTACAAACATGGATTTAAAATAAGCTTCATGAATTTTGGTTCATGAATACAAACCAAGTAACTGTGGTCAGTTTTACACTGTATCCTTCAAAAGTAGTTTACTACAAAACAAACCACTGCAGCATAAGATCAATTCCTTACCAACTTTGCCCTTTTCAGCCTTTGCACTGGTTTCAGACCAAGATGGTGTATCTGTGAGAAGGTGGCTCTGGGAATCACACAACGGCTTTGCAGGAAACAGATGGTTCTCACTGTAACACCAATAAAAAGAACATCAGTAAACTGCAGTAATTTTTCATTATCTTACCACACTTTACAAACTGTCATAATCTGTATTTTACCTACTTTACCTTGCTTCTTTTCTGATGAATCACACCACTTTTATCACTACAAACATTACCCTGTAGTTGTCACAGATGCAAGCGTGTGACAGATGCAATCTATAAAGCAACTCCCTAGCACAGAACAGGGGAACATTCCAATTTTTCCCTTGACAGCTATTATATATTAGTACATGTACTTCAGTTCCAAATGCACTTTAACCATATTCTCTCCCACTACAACAAACCTGACACAATAAATAGCAGAGAAAACATCTCCAGACTCTCTTACTTAATACAAGCTATGGATCACTGGGGTAAGATTTAAAGCATCAATAAACAGCTAGCTGAAATGTAATGTATTTCTTTTATGAATAAAAGACTGTTTCTACTATTCCATGATAGTTTCTTAGTTGCATATTGAAGTCTACTCTACTTACCACACTCTTCATTATGTAAGTGTTGCAAAAAAGTTACAATATGAAATACTAAGCTATTATATTAATTTAGTTTAAGAAGCATCTGTGTACTTTTCACACTTTAAAGATGTCATGTCTATGAAGGATAACAACTAAGAAAACGTCCTAGTATCAGGAGAAACAACACGTACATTTAAAAGGCAGCCTCCTGTGCTTTGGCACAAGTTTTTGAAAGGAAGATGGAGTGACGAGGTAGCTGATTGATTTTCCCAACAAGTGATAGGACAGGAAGCAATGGTCTCAAGTTTCACCAGGGGAGGTTTAGATTGGGTATTCAGAAAAATTCCTTCACTGAAAGAGTAGTCAGGCATTGGAACAGGCTGCCCTGGGAAGCGGTGAAATCACCATTCCTGAAGTGTTCAGAAACTGTGTAGGTGAGGCCCTCAGTGACATGGTTTAGTGGCAGACTTGGCAATCCTGGGGTAAAGGTTGGACTGGATAACCTTAAAGATCTCTTCTGACCTAGTTGATTCTATGATTCCAAGTGTTGAGGCCTGTAATTCCCCTATATGAAACCTTTTTAACTAGATAAAAAGCAGAAAGCCTCCCCAAAATCTTGCAAGATAATGCATCCATATCACAGGCAGACCAACAGTCTCCTATGTATGCATAACAGAATGTTAGGCAGGTGTGGAAAACTCAAGTTCTGGGATGCCACTGAACTGAGACAAAGCACATTGGGTGGGTGGGTAAAACATCTTATTTCCATGAATTTAAATATAATTGAGGATTAGTAGAATTACAGCTTAGCTGTTTAATATGTGACTTGTATTTATTCACAGGATACTCTTTGCTTGCTTACCACTTTTAAGTATCTTATAAATGGTTCTGTTTACATGTGCAGAAGTAAAAACAGACTATCAACTATTTGAAATAAGTAACAAAAAGCAGATTACTTTTTGGATGTTGAATTAAGACAACCAGGTGTGGAAGCTTGCTCAGGATCCTGATTAACGAGGCAAGTTGGGAAGGAGCAACCATCCCCTAGACTGAAAAATTCATAATTAGCGTTACATGTACCAAACCCAACCCAAATCCCAAAGAACTTTTTTCTGAAGCAAATATTACTGTACCTTATTCCAAAATACCAACCACCCCCCTAAACCCTGTGCATCCTGATTATTCAACAGTTCTAACAAATGAAGCATTAAAAACTGAGCATACCTTGAAAATATGGGCAGCAACCAGTATTTCTTCTCATCGCCAAACACTTGCCTTAGGTTTTTGCTGAAGCCCAAGCTAAAGCCATTCTTGTCTGTTCTGTGACGAAATATGGGAGCTCTGAATACCTCTTAAAAGAAAAAGAAAAATAATTAAATCTCTGCAGAGTAGCATGTTTCAAGTTTCACACTGGTATTTAGGCAATTGCACTGATGATGCCATTACCCAAGAGGAGAGGCTGTACTGCCCAAATGATTAAGAGAGCTAGTCTGTGCATGAAAGCCGAAGTCAGCGCCACAGTCACTGTGTGTGCAGAGGAAGTCCCATGGCCAAGGAAGGATGGAAGTCTCCTTTACCTTCCTCCATAATCAAGTCAAAGAAGAGCATGTAACTCACTTTTTAAGGTGTGGTATATGAAGAATTCAGCATGTGATTATACCACAGTGTTCAAGAAAGAAAAGCCTAAATGAAGGGTTTATGAAAGAAAGAGTATCGAAAAGAGGAAAAGCTTAACCTACTTTAGTAGTAAGACTAGCTTTTCACACCCTGGGGTATTAAAGTGTTGTGTATTTTTACAGCTACATAAAGAAAGCATTTTACTCACAGACCCAGATTATTCCCCAGACGTCCAACCTAAATGTCTAGAGATGAGCGCTAAACATAGCTTCAAGCGTTGGAAAGTGCCTGAAGCAGAAAACTCATTCACTTTCCACCAAGTGATGGATAGCCATTTAATTCCCTTAACTGGCTATATATATTAAGCAAACCATGTCCTGGTGTCCTGACAGTACAGCTCAAACCATGCTGAAACCATGCAGAAATCATCCTTCTGCAGTAAATCCTTAGCTATGAACTGATGTAAATTATCTTCAACATGTAGTATACATAACTAGTGAGTTACAAGATGTTTTAAAGAAGGGGGAAGAGAAAATAAGAGATACCCTTTTAGATGCCCATGCCAGGCTACGAAAACAGCTCCCTGGATTTAAGAACACTCACACTTAAATCTGCCATGGCTTCATTTCCAAGCTATTGCATGTTCAGGGTTTCACATACTGAGCAATTTCCCAAGGTAAAATAGGAAGAAGAGACAAACAGATTTTTTTGAGTAGCTTTGGTGTAGAGAAAACATGATTTATTACCTGCATGGAATTCAAGGTGTTTTGAAAGTATGAAATGTTGAATTAAATGCAGCTCTAACAATTTTTTTTTTTTTGCACTAAAATGGTAAGACCAGTTTATAAACACAATGCTTAATTATTTATGTTCATTTAAGCATCATTAGTAGAAGTTTTTCTCCACCTATCACTAGATTGAACAATTTTTTTCCGATACTAATTGCTAAGTAGATTATTTGCAGCATACTGAAGAAACCCACAAACCTGGGAGAAATCTTGAAGTAAATAAGCTTTCAAACACATATATCCAAAGTTTTTCATTAATCACCTATATATTAGTAAATCCCAAGAGAACTGGGGGCAAAAATTGAAAAAAATCAATTCACTGGATCACTCTAATTCAGTTTAGATCAACAGAAAAGCATTTAGAGATTTAGAAACTTTAATGAACATTACTGCAGATTGGTATTATTATAGTCCAGGATATAGTGTAGAACAGGCATCCAAATTCTCTGCACCTCCATTTACTAAGATTTGTAACCAGGCAAACATGCACTCAAGTGGTGGGAAATCCCACTTTAATGCTGATACTCAATTAAGTTATATATACTGCCCCATAGCAAAGGCACAGGCTATCTTCTTTGAGGTTTTTCAAAATAAACTTGTAACTCAAGAGTCCTTTCAATTCATCTATAATTATGTGGCAGACAGGACACCCAACTGTATCAAATATAGAAATACTTTCTCAAAGTCTGTTCTTCCATGTTAGATCATTCTCTGACATTGCCTTTTTCCGTTCATTCATGTTGATCAAAACTAATGCCACTAGGGTGACAATCAACCTGCCTTCTGGATTTTTTTCCCCTCTCCTTGCCTCCAGTAGAGGCAAAGTTTTGGGATTAATAAATATGCTTTTCAGAACTTCTGAACAAAAATATAGGTGAATTGAACAGAGGAAGTTTGGTTCTGCAGGGAGCAAGGGTGGGAACAGAGCATGGGTGTCACTGCCCTGACTGCGACATCACATCAGCCGACTCTGCTCTGCGGGGCTGGAAATGCCAAACAAGAAGCACTTTCCATAAGCATGCTTTAGTGAGATGGCATTTATTGCAAAGTGATCTCAACTTTTTTATTTCTTTATTTTACTACTATTATTATTATTATTTAGTTTATTCAGTTACTATTAACAAGCTGTGCATGAGAGGAAATGGGAGGGAGAGGGTAACTTCATTAGTAGCATGGGGCAAGAGGAAGACACAGAATCCTTGAGGAGCACCAGAACGGGGGAGTCAATACTGGACACAGCCTGGTTCAGGCACTTCTAACCAGGATCAAAGGAACCTCTATAGGATTGCCTGCTTTTTCTATTACCCCCATACATATAATATACATTTCTTATTTATTTTCAGCTGTCAAACACAGAAGCATTCAATCTACTTACCTAATGTAGACTTATTCTTGCTGACAAGCCAACAGTGATACCCAAAGAGAGAAGAGAGACTGACAGAAAACATAGCTGCAGCAAAGAACAAAAACATGATGTGGAACTTGGCTTGAGTATCAGGAAGGCCATTCTACAAATAAAACAAACAAACAAGAAAATGCTGTTAGAACTGGGGAAATAGCTGTTTAATTTGATTATTAATAATCCTCTATTCAGTCAAATTAAATTCAGTGCAGACACAAGCATACCACATACAAGAGTCTAAGTAAATGAATTATACACCTTGTATGTACAAATGGCCATAAAACTAAGTTGCTGACAGTATCTAAGTTAAAGAAACAAGCCCCTTCTTGAGAAAGTATAAATACTGACAACAACAATCTGAAATCTGGATCTGAACTTTGAAGTGTCTTTCAGTGAAGAGTAATTTATCTTTTCATCAATTGTCCTGTTTAATTAACCTTTTCAGAAAACTTACATTATAGCATAAATATTGCAAATCTAAGAAGGTAATACCCTAAGTTGTGAACCTAGATAATTATAATTAAAATACTAGAAAATGTCTCTGGAACTTTTGTACAGCATAGCATCAGAGTTAACAAAACCTACTTATAATGTAAATTCCATTGTAAAATGTTGTCCTGGGTTTAGCAGTAGCAGTCATGTTTTCTAAACAATTGCATATTTGTTCTACACAGCTTCAAAATAAGGAAGAAACAAGTGAAAATTCAGAAACTATCATAAGTAGTGGGCTATGATTACTAGATGAACTTTTGTGCCTCCTAGTAGGAGATACTAGATGACAATACAACACCTTGGAATCTTCGACTTCTTGTACAGTGGTAATTTCACATGCTTAAGACAGTATGTAGATTATGGTACTTACTGTCCAAAATTTGATAAAATACTGTAAATCCGTTGCAGCAATGAACAGGCAATACAGTAGCGAGTAAGCCAAGAAGAGAAGAAAAAATTTGTAATTGGAGAATCCTACACAGTTGTTCACCCTGTGATAATAAAATGTAAAAATGTAATATGATGTAATAATAAATATGTGATAATAAAAATGTAAAAATGGAATATAATGGTTATTTTCTCTCCTTTCATCCAACTTAAACTTATTTACTCCAAAAAAGTAATTAACAGCATGTAAACCAAGTTTTACTTCCTATCTCTAGTGCCTCAAGCTACTGAAACTTAGTTAGCGTCAACTCCCAAATTAGTATAGTAATTCTAACCAAAAACTACCACAAAACAAAAACCCCAAAACTTTACCAGGTAAAACCATTTTCAACTGCTTACTAAAACTGAATTTTCATTTACTGCATGAAATCTGTTCCCAGCATGTGACATAAATATGACTGCAGTTATAGTTAACTTTTTAGCTTGTAGGTAAGTTTAAGTATCCATGTCTTACTGTCAGGCATATTGCACATAACTAAGACAGTTACAAGCCAAGAAACTGAATCTCAACTGAATTTTGTGAGAATAAAAGTCGCATTTAATCCATATACCTTCTTTAACTAACTGATACTGCTGTCAGAAAGATCAGCTAATTAAGAGAAGACTACATCCATGAAAGCATTTGTATGTTAAAAAGTAATTCTCAAAACATAAGAATTCATGGTAAGCCTCAACTTTAGCTTTTAGAAGTACAGGAAAAATTATTGCGATTATTCTCTTCTTTAGGGAGTCAGTGATGGTGATGGCAGAATAGGTAATATATGGTAATCAGAAGAGGGTAAAGTCTCAAAATACCAAATAAATTTTCATTGTACACTACCGTCATCCACCCTCAGGATGGATAAGGGGGTTGTTTGGTTTGTTATTGGCTTTACTTCTACAAAACATGCCACCTTAGCCAAACACTAAATTTAGCATTACCATTTAAACATGCAGTGATAGCTAAGCATCTGTATCAACTACAGTTAAGAAGGATGCGCAACAGATTGCTCTAATTAAAAAGACCCACAGGATATTTTCTAAGGTCACCATAATTCTTATTGGAAAGTAAATTTGTAATTCTCCACAGTGAAGTGTTCTTTTTCATTAAACGTGTCAAAGTAAGAAATTCCATGATAAACTGCAAGCAATTCAGATTCCAGGTTTCTCTGATAACTCTATTTTCCTTTCATGGTATTTATTTTAGGACCGTTTTTACTTTATGACACTGTTTAGTGACAAAACAAACATCAAGTGAAATGTTATTCCCCAAAGATGAAATTTCTTGACTCAAAGACAGATTTCTCTCTCGTTGTTTTGTGCTACTGCATATGGTACACACATTAAAATAAACTTTCATAAATTATTTAACTTTATTCAATTTTGAAATAGCTGCAGACTGAGGAGTTCTTACTGGAACAGAAAGAGTTCATCGGAAGATTGGAGAGAAAGTAAACACCAAGGTTTTGTAATTGTACTATTTGAACCTATAATAAAACCTAAGAATGGTGGCTAGATTTGAAGTCTATGATTTCTGAGGAAGAGCAAAACTCATAAATGTACCAACAACTTCCTAAATAATGATGTGCTATTGCAGTAAAACATTCATATAAAAGAACAGTCCAGGTTAACAATTTGGATTACAGGTAACATTCAAAACACTTAATTTTGAAGTACAAATAGAAGAGATACTCTCTCTGTCTCAAGACTAAGTTTACTGAAAGTGCCAAGCAAACAACCTACAAGACACCTAAAGTGATGCAACTTGATTAACAAAAAGCATCACAGAATTACTGAGAAATTCTTTTCAGATGACTCAAAAGACAAAGGAGAGATGTTTCAAATTATTCCTAAGGTGTTCCTAATGCACCTTATTAGTATCAGAGTTCTTATATACAAATTATATTTTTAGTGACACCTCAACCCATTGCATTCCTGCCTGCAGCTCCATCTATATTCAGTACTAGCACAGAAATCACTAATGCTTTTATGTCTGCATCACTTAAACCTTTTAGAGTAGTTAGAGGGCAATTAGCGTTAAATATTTTCATTTATCACAGCACTTCGTTAGTGCAGGGGTGATATCCAAAACAAAGCCTCCAAAAAAGGAGAAGACAGCTAATCTGGGGCTAGGACATGACTACCATCTTACTACCTCTGCCTTCCAAACACTTCATCTTACTTTCTCTATGTTATTTTTACCACAGCCTGTCCTCTCTCCAGAAATCCTTCTCTTAGCAGAGTATTAAAACAGTAGTAATTCCCACTAATGTTTCTGTGGTCTCCCTAAGCATTGCTTAGGTTCCTTCCCCTTCTTTCTTACTCACACCAAAAAAATCCCAACACAAACAGCAAAGAGGACATAATGGTATTTTCAAGGGGGCTAAACATGACCCCTTATACTGATTTGCACTATTACTTTTGTTGGCAAAATAGCCCTGTATTTCCCAGTACAGGATTTGATCAGCATCTGTGTAACATTTCAAACACTCTGTCCCTTCCACAAAGTTATTTTTTTAAGGGAGAGCAAGGAACATGGATGTTTACTCAAACTAGGAAAAATAAAGCAAGATAATACCTCTTTTTCTAGTGCATTTCTGCTACTTGGAGTAAAAAAAGAATTTTCCAACAGTTTTCCATCAAGAAGCATTTACATGTTTTTCAAGTACCTTCTCCACCTCTAGGTTGTTTTTTGTTTGTTTTTTTTTTTTTTGCGGCCATTGCTTTTTAGATTAAAACCAATGAGCAATGTAAATATTCTCTCAAACTGGGCATGTTTATATTGTTTGGATACAAAGAGTGTGCAAACAGGCAAAATAAGCAAATGCTACTGACAGGAAAATTGAGTTTATTTTTCTAGAAGTCTATGCCCTAGTGAAATATCACTTCACTACCCCTTTATACAACACATAAGAGCTCAGTTTATGATTTGTTATTTGATTCAATGGATTTTTATTCTGAAATTGAAGTCTACATGAAGGACATTTGCATGTACTGTCCTAAAGAAGGACAACTAAAAAATCCCAGACAGACCATACATCTTATGAGAAGTGTGTATAACACCGAATAATGATAGTACTGACACTTTTCACTGACACTTTGCCAGGAATAGCCTGACAGCTATTTTTCTTACAGCTTTCTACAGGACAGCAGTGAGAAACCTGAGAAAAGGCAACAGCCCTTTTTCTTGTAAGAAATTTGTTCTACATTCAATGGTTTTACCTGTGTGGGTATTTTTGTTTTGAGGTTGGTTGTTTGTTGGGCTTTTTTTTTTTATTAAGAAGCACACACACTAACAACACTAAGCATCGGCAAGTTTCACACGCTAATATCCCTACAGCAAAAAAAAAACATAGGAAGTAAGTCTACCCTATATTGTTAAGTACTTCTTTCAACTGTATCCACCATACAGCTGCAAAATAAGGGGAGACTCCTAAATCATACTGCGTTACGTCAGAGGCTGTAGTCAGGACCAAGACAAATAGAAGAAGCCCCGCACCCCTACCTCCACCATGACAAATTGATCTGTGAAGGTCAAACCAGCTGCTTTGAACCATCCACCACTGTCAGGAGAGTCTTCTTTTCCGACTGGTTTCATGTGGTAAAGAACTGCCACCTACCACTCAATCCTCTTAACTTGAATTTTACTAAAGAATTATCTTTAAGTATTTTCACGAGATACCTGCCAAACTGATGTAAAATTAATTACACATCCTGTTTACCCACTGGTTCTAAGGGCTGCTGAAAAAGGACAGGAAAACAAAAAGAGGAAGGGTGGGAGGGAGAGAGGAGAAAAAGCAGAAAGAAAACAAAGAACCCATAAAGCTAAAAAGAGCTAACTTGCTGTTTCCAGCAAGGCCACTCAAGCTGTCCTAGGAGCTTCAGTAAGGGGAGTGAGGCACAGCCCTTCCCTTTGGTTTTTAACATTTCATCATTCAGTGCAACTAAGCCACACTAATACTCAGAAGTCCATGAAGATGAAATTCTTAAAAGAAGTTTTCTTAGTGACCAGAATCCTAGATCATCCTAACTGTAAAAACATGGACATACCTAACTCATAGGTCTAAGAAAAATCATAGAATAGTTAGGGTTGGAAAGGACCTTAAGGTTATCTAGTTCCAATCCCCCTGCCATGGGCAGGGACACCTCACACTAAACTATGTCACCCAAGACTTCCTCCAACCTGGCCTTGAACACTGCCAGGGATGGAGCATTCACAACTTCCTTGGGCAATCCATTCCAGTGCCTCACCACCCTCACAGTAAAGAGCTTCTTTCTTATATTTAACCTAAACTTCTTCTGTTTAAGTTTGAACCCATTACCCCTTGTCTTTCCATACCTCACAACCAGGGTAAGAAGACACAGTAAATAACTCCATGTCCCGGGTTCAGCAGTAGCAGTCATTTTTTTTTCCTTCTTAGTAGCTGGTGCAGTGCTGTGTTTTTGACTTTCAGCCTGGGAACAGTGCTGATAACACTGATGTTTTTAGTTGCTGCTCAGTAATGCTTACTCTGACCAAGGACTTCCTGAGCGTCATGCTCTGCCAGGGAGGAGGGGAAGCCAGGAGGAAGCAGAGACAGGACACCTGACCCAAACTAGCCAAAGAGGTGTTCCATACCGCAGCACATCATGCCCAGTATATAAACTGGGGGGCAGTTACCCGGAAGGGCTAGATCGCTGCTTGGGTCAGACTGTGTATCTGTTGGTGGGTGGTGAGCGGTTGTATTCTCTTCCCTTGTTATTTCCCTTATTATTATTGGTGGCAGCAGCAGTAGTGATTTGTGTTATACCTTAGTTACTGGATTGTTCTTATCTCAACCCGTGGGAGTTACATTCTTTCAAATCTCCTCCCCATCCCTCCAGGAGCAGGGGGACGAAGCAGGGGAGTGAGCGAGCAGCTGCGTGGTTCTGAGTTACTGGCTGGGCTTAAACCACGACACTGCAATAGTCCTGAAAGACCAGTAACTTCACATAAGCATCTAACTGCAGGAACAGTGAAGCATCACCTTCATAACAGGCCCCTCAAGAATTTACAAAATCATGAAGAAAAAAAGGAAAGCCAATAGTACACTTACCAAGGGCAATGGTGATCCATTTTCAAAATACATCTTAAAAAACCCCAACAGAATTCAAAGCATAGCAAAAGGCAAGGGAAAAAAAAAAAAAAGTCAGATGCACAGTTACATGTCAGATTTAAATTATTCACATACAGACTAAGAACTGCCCATATGTACTACTGGTTACCTAATCTATTTTAAATGGTATCTATTTAAATTCAGATAATATAGTTTACCTAAAAGTAAACTGGAGGTAACCCAAACTCATAACACTTGTTCTGTCAAGAGCGTAGTCATTTAAGAAAACACAGCCTGTAACTTCAACTTCAGGATTTGGTCTTCATTCTGAATAGGTTTTTCAACTGTTGTTTATTCTCTGACAGAGACTTAGAAACTAGGCTAGTTCAATTATTATATACTTAGTGATACAACTAAATCTATTTCCAAGTATACAGTTTGCTTTTCTAGAAATATATACAGACGCACACAAGGTTTTTAAGAACTTACCTTGTATGAAAAAAACCAAACATTTTTTCAATTAATCACCCTCCATGAATAAAACATGCAAAAGAAAATCAGATGTAACTGACTTAAGTGAATTGTGACAAGGTAAGGTAAATCAAGGTATTCTGCAAAATTTATTTACTAATAGCCTTCTGCAAATTACTCACATTTCATAGGATAACACAGGTCATCCTTTTTCTCCACCCTGCTCAGACATGAGAATGCTTTTGTCTTACGACCACATCCCATACAGCACAACCAAGATCCTCCTTCTGCCTCAGCTCAACTACTCTTTCAGTGCCTCAGCTGTTTTGCTAGACAAAAGGAAAGTCATCTCTGCTTCACAACCATGTTGAGAGGTTTGATGCATTATCGGCTGAACAGCTCCTGGAACAGCCTTAAAGCTAAGAATAAATCAATCACTGAGGAAGCCCCTTCTCTAAAGTTAGAAATTTAAATCACTGAGGGCAAGAGTGGAGAACCACACAGACGCTCAAGCTAAATGGACAGAGGTCAGACTGAAGAACAGCCAAAAGAAACATTAAATTAGAAAGCAATTAGACTTCTGGGGAGCATTGCCATGAACTTCCTTTTGTGTTAGACAAACAAAACTTGTATTTTATGACTTCAGTTAGAAATGGGGGATGCTTGGTTGTTTGTTCTTGCTTAAAAAAAAGCAACAAAAAAACAACCAACCAAACAAACAAAAAAAACAACCCTGCAAGTTATCCAATGAAAAACAGGATATTAAGTTTATTACCTCAGATAAGATGCAAGTGACATCATGATTAGATTGAGATGGGTAGTGATATTCAGATTCTAACAAAAGAAGCAAATTTTTGTTTATCAGCTATTTTTGGTTACATTCTTAAGGAAAGTTCTTTATTAATATTCACCATTTTAGCCATTATGTAAAGAATGTATAAGACCATGTAATCGATGCTGGCATCAAGAAAGCCATCAAATGAATTAGAGTAAGTTACAGACTTCCCTAAAAGTAACTAAATAAAAATTAAGTCTGAAAAAATTCTAAGGGGAAAATAAAAAGCTCATATGCCAAAACATTAAACCTGAAAAATCTATGCATAAAGTATAAAGGCTCCGTGTCAAAAAAAAAAAAAAAAAATCCACTAATTCAGAAAAAACATTTGAAGTATTTTCTTACTTGTCGCATACAGAGCAGTGATGGCAACGGTCTGGTTTTACAAGATGGCATCTGTCACAGTATCTGATTGCTAAAGGAAAAAGTTTCAAGATTAGATTTCAATGTACAGTTACACATCTTGATTCCTGAGGTCTGCACAAAGTAAATACTAGCAGCTCAGCCCAGCAGAACCCCCAAGAAAACATTTCAGCATGGTCAGAAACAGTTGCATTCTGTAAGTACTTGCAATGCTGAATCTGTCAGAGTGCACCCAAAAAAGTTCAGTTTTTGCAATCTCTGCTAATCATGCTAATCAAGCTCTTTCTTCCAAACCCCTCAGCTCGGCAAAAAATCCCAATGAATCAACAAAACTCGCACACAAAACCTCTACTAGATGGGAAAACCTTTAAAAACTGTTCAACAATATGGCTATTTTAAGCTATTATTCTAACAGCTTTAATTCACTATATGAGATTATCTCCTGGATTTGTTTAGATAGCCAGCATTTACAAATCTACAGTATCAGAAGGTTAAAATTAACTCTTAGTTTGTCCTTGCAACCAAACAACCAGCAAGTAAAACACCAAGTTTGTTACTGTGATCTATCTAGCTATACATGACATGCAGTGATTTATTTTTTTGTTTTTTTTAAACCTATGAAGAAATAAAATGCAGTTAATGACTGCTACAGCCTCTTCTACAGTTAGTATTACAAGCTATTTGTTAATGTCAGTTTGCAAACATTTAGCAAGGCATTGTCAATCCACTTTAAAATCCTAAACCATATGCAGCAATTTACTTTCCAACAATGTTTCCCCTTAATTAATGTACCTGTATAAAGTTATAATTAAGTTCTTGGGTCACTTTATTTATTTTATAAAGTATGAAAAGCAGATCTTCCCTACAATCCAAACCTTTGGGTTTTTTTATTTAATTAGCTTAGGTAATACATCAAGACACCTGCCTTTAGTGGTCTCCTGAATACCTACTTACCTCCAGACATTGTCCGCGTATAAATAGGAAGATCCTTGGCTGCCCGTCTTAAGACTTCTTGCTGGGATTCACCTCTAGGCTCCCTCTCTAGGGATTCCTTGTCTGAATATGATAGATGAAACTGGAATAATTTTTAAAATTAAAGGTATGTTAGCAAATTCCAAGTTAAGTATCTGCAGAGATGTAAAGAGAAGCAAATATTCATTTCATAATGATGAGTTTGCAGCACATATAAGGTACTAAAGCGAATAACCCAGTGTTCTTAAGACCCCTAATTTAGTTTATGACAACTAAAGACAAAATTAGAATTGCTTCTGATTTGGTATTGATGCAATGCTGAATGTTTCCAGAAGTAATAAGCATCACTGTTCAAGAAGAGGCTCAAGTGCTTACCATTCCTTTGAAAGGTGAGTTAATTTACTTCCGTAATACTAAATATTACATAGTTAATATAAGCTAGGTACCAGTCTTTAACTGAAAGAAAATACACTACTAGTAATAGCAGAAAACATAGCTTTAATTTATCTTCTGGTGTGTCCTATTGTCCTTTTTATTCTTTGCCACTGGAGACTTGCTGTTCTCTTCACCAGCTGTTAGAATGTGTTTTTACTTCAGAGACTGGCTGACAGAAGGAAGAGATGGGTATCCTGTATGACAGAATAACCACTTAACATCTTCTTGCATAGAAGGACAACTTACATTGCTGCCAAAAATGGCCACAACAAACATTGCTCTAATAAAAACTGAGAGCGTAAAATTACTGAAAGAGATGCACAATATACATGACACCGTCCAAATTTCCTACGCTCTTAAGTCCTCTGCAACACAGCAACATAGTCAGCTTTCGCTATAGCTTCAAGAAATGGGAGATGCCAAACTTTCTCTACCAGAGAAACAGGATACAAAATCACCACTGAAAAAACTACCACTTTTCCTCCCAAATATGGATGTGTCTAACCTGTACTAGAAAGAGAAGACCTCTGCATAGCATTTATGTCTACAGAAAGTCTAATCATTGTAATATTTTTCCTCCCCTAAATTGAAGTGATGCATGCAAAACTAAGAAAGCAGACAAACATACAGTTAGCAGCCTGTTCTCCCCTACACAGAGAAGGCACCACTTTACCTTCCTAACAAGGCTCACAATCTTCCAGCAGAAGCTGGAGCTTCTCTATTTAGCATCAGTTTCTCAAGACACCTTTTGTTTTTTTCCCTAGGAAGAACACACTCTTGCTAACACCTGAATTTATATTGGGATACATAGGATTTCTCACTGCAGAAACTCGAGTCAGAATACTTTATTTTTGCAATGCGTCCTGTTTGATGTACATGGAGCTATTGTACCATCACTTTGTATTGGTTCTCAGAGTTGTCCTAAGTCTACAAAACCTTCCTGCCTGGGAAACCACCTTCTCTCCCACCTTCATACAATGATTGTATACAGCTAGTGAGCCATACAGGTACAGAATGGCACACACTAAAGTGAAGTCCCTCAAAGTCTCCCTAAGAGAAACTGCAGCTGGAACTTTGGAGGTTTTCATATGTGTATGAAGTTGAAATAAGCTTGAAAAGAAATGTACAGGCTGCATGGTTTGCATCACCCGCAGTATCCATTAAAAGAAAACATAAAATCTGTGTTTTCAGCCTTCAAACAAGTATTTGCTATAGTTGGTACAGCAGTTCATTTACAGACTTCTGCTCTACTACATCAGGAAAAAGACACGGAACAACAAGGATGTCACTTATTGCCAGCAACATTGTGTAAATTCAAAGAACACAGAAACACCATACACTGCTTTCTATTACCCAACTTCAATATTAAAATATCCCATTTTAAGTTCTCCAGTAGCATTGTATGACAGCTTTGAAATCCACTGTAATTACTAAGGATTTGTCAAAATGTTTTGGAAGTCTTTTACTGGCATCAACCCAGTGATTTGAAAACCCTTCTAATTATCACTACACTCACCATATACATACACATACTTTGCTGCAATTACCAAATGAAATGGGTTCTTAATTTATTTCACTCCTCTCTGCCCCAAGCTGTAGTAAAGACTGCAGTGTGAAATTCAAGGAAGATGCCAATTACTTTGAATTATCTACTTGTTTCCACAATTATGTATTTTATTAGTGAATAAAAACTATTCAGAAAAGAACTTCCACACAACAGACAGCAGAAATCACAAGCTATTTATTTTGTGTTGGTGTAGTAGTTATAGAAACTGCAGTTGCAAGTCCATGCCAAAATAAGCACTGGCTTTGTGGGTATTTCAAAATCCAGACTAGCCACAGAATGACGATTCTTGACCTCAGAGGTTGTCTGACAATGCACCTACTGAGGACTGTGGGGTATCTGTACAAAGACAGGACGGAAAAGGCTAAAAAGGTGTGCTGGTTGTACCAAGCTACATGGGGAGGATTTTCATCAAGGTTATTGACAGTTTTGGGTTTGGTGTTTTTTTTTTTTTTTTTTTGTTTTTTTTTTTTTGTTTTGTTTTTGTTTGTTTTTTATGTTAGAAAGAACATGAAATTAATTTAAAAAGCCAATACAGTACTAACAGCAATTATCTTGAGGCTACATTATGTTAAACTCAGTTTTGTGTATTAATATACTCCAAGACAACTTGATCCTCCTTCTTTAACACTTCTAAACTAGCTGGACTTCGACTTGGGGTATGGGTTTACTCAGACCTCTTTTCCATGCAGCTGTTCTACACTAGCTCCTCTTCCTGCCTAGCCAGCTGTGACTTCCCAGCATTAGCTTACCTGTTTGTGTGCTCATGTCACAACCCTCAAATTCCTTCGTACCAAAACAGATGGGGAAAAAGTTCTAACTCAGAAGACAACAGACAGATGCTGACAGGTAATATGCCTTAAACACAGAGAAATCAATTTTGTGCCCCATGCAAAGATTTAAGCTGCTAGTTTGAGCAACTCTGATTTTTCAAGTGGAGAGCTTTTTTCTTCTTAGTATCATAAATACAATGTAATTTTACAAAGCAATTCAAAAACCTTTAAAACTTAGAGAAGGTGTGATTTTTTTTTTTGTCTTGGTCATTACGCTGTTTGCAATACGACTTACTGCCATTGAGCAGCTCTAACGACCATCTGTATTTTCTACAGCATAAAACTACATGAGATCAGAGCCTAAGATATTCAAAAACTACTAAATCAGGCATTTGAGCAGGCTACTTCAGAAACAAAAGTGAAGTTTATCTTACTTCTTTTGAAGGATTCATTGGTAGCGTAAAGATTGTTTTCCAATATGACCAGACGAACAGCATGAAAAATATGTGGTAAGCAACCAGGCACACAACTAAAACCAAAAAGGAACAGAATTAATACAAACAGACCAGTGATACTATAGTACTTACAAATGGCTGCTATATATATCACAGATAGTGACTCTAACAGATGTAAATAGAGCCTCTGCAAAAGCTTAACAACAAAAATACTGCACTGCAACTTTACATGAGACAAACAGACACTTTGTGGGGAAAGTCATGATACAGGCTACATACATTACAAAAGTTCGAGGGGAACAGTTAATAGCCTATGGGAGCTCCATAATTATTTAGCAAGCATTTATGCATTTGTTAAATCCTACTTAACTGATGTACCTCTTTTTTAGTTTTATAAAACATGTATAGGTACATCTAGCCATGCAAAAGAAAAAAAAAACAAACCAAAACCCTCAAATCCCACAAAAGGAAGTACAGCTACCTAAACAATGACCTCAGCAAAGGGAGTCTTCGAGTGGCTATGCATATGATACCTGAGCAGTAACTATAACCAGTTATCCTGTTTTTCTAGATTTTTAGGAGGGAGCAGGGTGGTTTTAAAAAACTTGCAGGTTCTTTAAATTGAAACATTCACTCACTACTTGACATTCTTCATAGCCAGTGATTTATTCTTTGATTTTTTTAATAGATGCCACTCAACACCTACCATAATGAGTTGTTTTACTAGAATACAGAAGGTAACATCTTTTCCAAAGAGCCTGCCATGGATGGATAGGTGTTTCCATTTAAAATCTCTCACTGTACCAAGCAAGTCATTACAGTAAACCCAATACTTGTATCCCATGATAAACTTGCTCTAGCACACAAGAAAGATTATTTAGTTGGATTTTTTTTCTACTCAGGCAGAGAAGCAGCAAATAGAGGACAGCTAGGTCAGCAACAGTCAAAAATACTATTTCTCTGCTGTACAGATGAACTCAGATCGTAGACAGCTCAAGGTTATAGGTGGCTATGTGGTCAAATAGCCTTTATACAACTTGTATAAATTCATCATAAAAAAAAAAAAATCATAAAGGGAAAGTTGTGTACTTTCACTACACAATCTGAAATACTGCCCTTGTATGGTTAGCCCATGTTTTCACATACATAATGATATTCAGTGCTAGAGAACTTTCTGTAACACATGTATGATAAGGTGTATAAATGCAGGAAGGGTAGGTCAGTATGTTCTTGGGTTTTGTAATTTTGTCTCAAAAGTAACACTGAATAAATGTTTCTGGTGTTGAAGTTTGTTTACTCAAAAAAAAGCAGAAACACAGTAAATATTTATTCTTATTCACTAGGCAGTTAAAAAATAATACACAAAAGCTAACAGAATATGGAGCAACCCTGCAGAGAGCTTTTGGGATGACAGGGGAAAAGAGCCATATGCCATGTCTATAAACTGAAAAAAAAAAAAAAATCTCATCGATATAAGTAGGCAATGGAACTGGACTCCTCATCTAGCATAACACATTAATTGACCATCTGGTTATTGCACAAGCATCTGGCAGGAACAGTCTGTGTTTTTACCAAAACATTTCTATCAACTAAAAAAACCCACCCTGATTTATTCAAACTAGATCAGTATTTTTTTAAACAACAGTATATTCATGGCACTGAGAGAAAGGTAGGGCAAGTTACATCAGTTCTGTTCCCTATGCATTTGCTAATCTGCATCAATATTTTATTGTTGTGAGAATAATGGTAACTGATAAGAAAATTCCTCTTCATACACTAAAAAACTCAGACTGCGGGAGGAAGACAAAATTTTAGCCTGAAGACATTACCCCGTGTTTCCCCTTTAAAGTCTGCACAAGATCTAAGCTCTTCTTGTTCACTCCTGCACCTCAGTTCTCCGACTTGGTCCAGGTCCTGATCAATCACTTCTCCCAGATTACCTATCTACCAGTTTCCCTGCACCACAGTGACCCTGGCCCACCAGCTGCTCCAATGGGTCTTTTAATTAGTAAATACTTAGAAGTGAGGGAGTCACCAATGACACAGTAAAACGTGCTGGAATTACGCAAATGTAAAATGCATACAGTTTGCCTCTTAAGTCCCAACTCTTTCCTGCAAAACCTTCATAGCAACACACTTCACATTGCCATTTTGTGCTGTGGTATTAAAACAGCATCTGGAAAAGCAATCTAAACATGCTACATCCTTGGGGTACAAACTCTAATGACAGCTAATCAGGCAGTTTTATTATCTTCTGAAAAAGTTATGCATCTGAAGGCTTGTGTTTCTTCAAAGACAGAAGAAATGCAGAAAAAAATAACCAGCCATTTAAGTATGTTGCACTCTGCACAAACACTGCTCATCTTCAGAAGTCATGGTTTTACAAGAGCTTTACTTGTTCTGAATGAAAAATTTGAAAAACAGAATATAAGGATTATTTTAGCTGACACTTCAGAAAGCCAGTAAGTAGAGTTAAAAGTTCTAATTTTTTTAAAATCTCGATTTGGAATAGCAAAAGCAATATTCAGGAAGAGCAGGATAGAAAGAGAAGCTGAGGAATACAAAAAAGTACACTTACTTGGAACAGGTTAGATCTGTATCTCAATTCTACTAGTAAACTACCCTGATATATGAATTCCACTTATAAACAGCTAATAAAAATCAACTTACCTTTTTCTCCAATATTTGTCATTGTCACTGGAAAATAAGAAAAAAGGACAGAGTAAAAATGGTGTTTAAGTAACAAATGACGTAACTGAGTATTTTAAACGTCTCTTTTTCAACGAAAGTGGGGAGAGCAATCACTAAAACATACAAGCTTAAGGCCACACACTATCCAGCTTTTATGCTGTGTACATTCATGGCAAGAATAGGTAGACAATGCCAACTGCTTATCAGGTTTTTTGGTTCCCATTTTTAGGCCAAGCTCCTGAATACTAGCATCTCCATCTATCTGAAGTTACCCAAGTTTAACCCAAGAAAAGACACCTCTGCAAAACAGTTATTTCTTTAACTGCAGCTGTACAGGCTTTACTGTTTCCATACGTTATGCTCTTGAGGCAGAGGTGTCGGACTCGAGAAGTAGTTTCGCAGCAATACTCAGTGATACCTTAGACCTCCAAGGCATAAAAAACCGAAGCAGACAAAAGCTGCATTTCCGTCAAGAAACTGTGCATACATTACAGGATTTGGGGATAGTAACAGAGGTGCAAGTATGTCAGGCATGGAGTGAAGTACACAGTTATCATGTATCAGTCACGGCATTTATTACAGAGAAGAGATTTTTTTTTTTTTTTAAACCTATATTCCACCTTCAGTCATATTTAAAAAATGGCCTCCCCACAACAGACAACTCAGAGAGATTGGAAACTCCCAAGTGAGCAAAAACGTCATGGTGCTCTTCCCTCTCCATCCAAACCACACATCTGAGCATCCCAGTTAAGCAGCCTACAAACTGTAACATACAGGCACCTACAACTGCGAGCAAGAGGACAGTAACTGTATGGATTTCTCATCCCCTCTTGCTGTCCTAATAAAAATGGCTACACAAGGCTGCTCTTCAAACAGCAGGCACAAGGCAACTCCTACTGAAAGGCCAAGCAGCCATACTGTCCTATTCTGATGTATTAAACTTCGGCATGTTAACAGAGTGAAAGTCACTATTTAAGTATATCTTGCACAATGTAAGGATGTACCGTGGGACCAGTGCGGCTCAACACCTTAACTAATGCTCTGGAAGGGTGAACGTTTATCAGGGTTACAGATGACACCGTACTGGGACACCAGCTGATACGCCTGTGCCTAGGACTGCCACCCACAAGACCCAGAGAAGCTGAAGGAATGGGCCAACAGCACCTTTAGGAAATTCAACAAGGGCAAAGTCATGCACCTGTAAAGAAACAACCCCCTGCAATGACACAGCCTGGGGACTGCTCTCAGTTTTCTAGTTCAGCTAAGAGAAGTCTTTAGAGCTTGATAAGCTAAATCTATCTAGACAACCCCTAGAGAGAAGCTGAGGGAATATGCATACACATTTAAATCTGAGGAGCAAAGATGCTACAGTACAATAATGTGCAAGAACTGTAAAATTGTAAGCAAATAGTCATTCACTGGCAAAAAAACAGGAGACATCTTTAGAGCTGATGTGTAATTTAAAGGTGCTGGAGCTCTCTGAGAGGACAAACTAGCCACTTCTCAAATTCTGATCTTAATTTCTCCACTTGGTATGGTCCGCAAGGTGTGCAGAAATTTTGCCAGTCTGCTTGGAATAACTGCTCTTTGCTAATTAAAAAGCCACAGCCAAGCATACATTGCAGAATCACCAGTTTCAAAATACAATCCATCAACCTTTCACAATGATTTGTGATATTTTTCTCTCTTAACAAGGGAATGGCATAGAACATTGCTGTGAAAGCAGTTGTCATGTTTCACGCACACACCTCCAACCTTACATAAAATGTATTAATGGATGTGTTTTGAGACTCTACTTACAGACGTGGAAAATGTAAAAGGACTAATACAACTAAAAAAATCCAAATTCAGATTTCTACCTGGCTGCAAGCCCACTTCACAATTTCTGCCCTCTCTTTGGGGTCTGTACCTGCTCGGCAGACTGCCTTTTCACCTTCTGTAGTATCTAGCTTAGAAGCCATATGTTCCTGACAGTCAGAAGCTGCAGACCGTGAAAGCTAAAACTTAAGTGCCCAAAGATGCAAGTTAATCCCAGCAGAGTGAGAACCCTTTATTTTTTTTTTTATACATCTTGTCATTTTAATCTCTTCTAGCACCTGAGTATAACTCAAAATTACTTGATACACTCCTGAGTTACAAAGTGTAAGAGACTAACGCAGAAAAGACAAGGTTGAAGAGATGCCAGCATCTTCAATCTTACCATCTTTTTTCTCCACACTTACTGCAACTGGTGTTCATGAGGAGACTGGCTGAGCTGCTTAACAAAAAAACATGGAAAGTAATTTTCTAACATGAAAGAACTCCTCTAATCTTGGATTTGAGCAAAGAAACATTTGCTATTTTCCGTGCCTTCTGAACAGCACACCTGATGTATTTATTTAAACCAAATTTTATATTTTTCAGTAGATTCAGCAATACAGATTTGCTATATTATTCAATAATATTCAATCTTATAGTCTTCTGTGAATCATTTATACTAATATTTCTGGCAGTTTTCTAATTTCTCTTGCAAGGGGTTATATTCACTGCTGATAGCGTACAGAAAAGTAGGTCAGGCTGTGCATCCTGTCCTTAATAAATATCAGCTTAAATGTTGCGAATTCACTCACTAGTAGTCAAATAGCATATGAATAATAAGGGTAAAAAGCATTTATGTCTACAATAGCTTAAAATACACACCAGTGACACACCAATCCTAACCATTAAGCAATTTCTACAATCTGGGAGAAAACAAGGTAACACTCTGAGAGGGAAATGGAATGATACTCTTGTGTACTCGGAGATAATTATAAAACCATAACCTGTCCTCCAGAAGTCATTACAAAGTTACAGCTCTGTTCCGCTGAGATACTGCATTCATTAAGAATCAGCCTTCCACTGCTAAAGCATCAGGATGCCATTTACAGTTCAGTACTAGCAGACTATCACATAATTAGAGCCTCTCTGTTTCATTACACAACTTGCAGACAGCACTCATCAGAATTAGGGATCAGGCTAGGACATATGCAGGACTTCAGCCAACGTAGATGCCAATTTTCTGAGCCAGAAACATCATTCCCTGCTACCCCAAGCCCCAGGCAGCCAGAAACAGGAACAGCAAATTGAGTAGCCAGTGCTGCTGAACAGCCTATGTTTGCAAAAATCAATAATGACTGAGGACAGAAAGTTGTGTTACAAAAGATAGGAAAAAGCCCAGGATGGAAAGGACACCCAGAGGAGCTGGGAAAATTCATCCCACACTTGCTGGTAGTCTTCCCCACCAGGAGAAAGCTAAGCAGCATTAGAAATGTTGCCCTGGCAAGCAAAGAGGCATCACAGTATCTCAAACCTGCCAGTCACAACTTCATCACCTAATTAGTTTGATAAGAAGAGAAGCCACACTGCTAGGCCCCTTGCACTGGGTCAGACCTTAATTCAGTGATAGAAATGGATTTCCCATTTCTTGAACTGTGGCTCATTTTCTCTGGAAATCTTTATTCTTGGAAAAATTAAGGCATTTGTCTCCATGTAACTAGAGAAATGGCAAGACACATTGCTACTACAAAACCCAAAAGATTTTGGAAGATAAAATTCACTTAAAGAATTGGTATTCATTTTCTAACATTAAATCTTGCTTTACTTTTAAAGCCAAAATCAAGCTCCTGAACCTTATACTAAATGTAATGGTTAGATTAAAAAAAGATAGAAGAAAGCAATTTTTTAAAGCTTTGATGAAAGCAGACACACAAAATCTTGCTTCCATATTTTAAGTACATTTGCTAAATATTTAAAACTTTGGAATGCGAAAATAAGATACATCTGATTCAGAGACTCTGCAGCCACTTTTATAAATAGCTGTTTCTCTCAAACTTTGTACAGTTTAACATCTTGGCTCTGATCCACAAAACTAAGTACATATTTTATCTTTATAGCGTTGTTTGAAACTGTGAAACACTGATCTATAGATGCAGTTTTACTCAGCTCTCTGTACACATAAAAGTGTTTTATAGTTGTGACAAGTGTTCTATCATTGCCTGAAACAGTTCTTTAGAAAAAAATTAAATCAGTACATACAGTAAAAACTACCTCTTTCCTAGACAGAGCAGTGGTTTGCATTGATTCTGAGTGACGAGGTGGAGACTGCCACCAGTTCTTCACTTCAGGACAAAAGTAACAGAAATATTTCTGGGAGACTGAAGGTTGGCATAAGTAGTTATCAATAACCCATACATCTGGATTTGACAGTATTTGTGAATGTTTCAGTAAATTCCTCTTAACCCTGTGCCCAGCAAACTATACCACCATACACCAACCCAGCAGCAAGCTGCTATCTGGTACCTTTTTAGTTAAGGTCACGACACCACTGCTTTCGGATTGAGTATGACTAAGGACTGATCCATCTTTCTGCTTTACAAACTCCCATTTACTTTCCAAGTCACACAGACTAACCAAAGAGTGTAAGCTAAAGAAGTCGTTGACCAGACTGCTCTTAGCAAACAAAGTATATACCCTGAGAATACCCAAGAAGTTATTATGTATCAAGTACTGTTCAACCTTTAACTGAAAATAGAATCTTATCTAACAATTATATCCTCACCATAGACCTCATGTTTTCAACTTAAAGCCGTGGTTTGAATTTCAAGGCACAAAACCTGCAGGTAGTAAGTACACTAGGCACTACATGGAGAGATAACCAGTCAACGCTTAACAAAGACTTGAGTTCAGTTTCAGAAGTGGAGAATGGCAGCTGTCACTTGTTTGAGAAGGAAATTAAATTAAATTTGAGAAACATACAGCGGTACTACTGGCTAAAATGCAGAAGCCTATTTTGCTTCATCTGCCAGTTTTGAAGCTTTCCTGAAAGTAACCAGGGAACTCAAAGAGGAAAAAAATGTGGTGTTTGCAAATTATGGCGTAAAAAAAAAATAAATCAAATCTGCACTGACCAAAGTCTTTTGCTACCTTAGCAGCCAAAGTACAGACAGGGTATTTAACTGGTATTTGGCAACTGCCAACTGCAATATTACAATGTACATGTACTTCTATAGCCAAATGTAAGCTGTACATGATTGCAAGACATGAGCAGCAATTACCATTCATCCTTTGATCCATCTGGAGAACATCCTAAGCAAAGAGCTCAAATCCAGCTGATCAAATCTTGGGCCTCACTTTTTTTTTTCCTTCCTGTTTTTTTATCCATCAACTTCTGTCTCCGCATTTTCTGTGCTTCTGATCCCCTGATGACACTGCGCCATGCCTACAGGGCACTCATTAATTCTGCCTCTAAACTGTGATGAATTAAGCAGCTTTTTATCCTGCTGTAATTCTATTCCACTGATGTTAAAGAGAGTCAAAACCCTTAATTCAGCACTAATCAATCTGATCCTCCAGCAAAAATCATTCATGATCATTAACATCTTTAGCAGCTGAATGTCATTCCACATTTTCCTGTTCTGCACTGATGGTAGCTGTGGCCAGATCTCAGTCTCATATTCTACTCCAAAACCAGAGATGAAACTTATGAGCATTTCTGACTGTATTGTGAATGTCTTGTCCACCTCTTCATCTGTGCTGAAGTCATTTATTCTTTACCGAATTGGGTAAACCACTCACCAGGTGACAGTATTTCTGTCCTTTCCCTTCACTTAAGTAGCCAGAAAGTGCTTATTGTTCATTTGTATGTTCCACAGCAAACCTATTTTCCTTCTTCAACTTACAAATTCAAGCTGCATTTTTGGACAGGACCCCCTGGAGCAAAAGTATCCCTAGAATTAAGATCAGTGACATGTAAAAACTGATCAAAACTGAACATATATTCATATGCACAGTCGTTATTGTCACTAAAAGCATCTACCACAGCACTGTCAAATTTTCCCATTTTCCTTCTTATATGCAACTCCAAATCACAAACTGCCAAGAAAACGAAACAAAAAGCCAAACAGGATCTCAACATCCAAGTTTGTCCAAAACATTTCTGACCAACATCTACTAGAAACTGCAAAAACCTACTGGTGCCACCTTATCCAAAGCATGGAGTGAAAAACTACTCTGAGTCCCTTATAAATCTATTAACCCAAGTTAGAGATACATCTAAGAAAGGAAAACTACTCCAAGTCCCTTATAGATCTATTAACCCAAGTTAGAGATACATCTAAGAAGGAAAGCGTAAGAATAATTATTGTCTTTGCATATAGTTACTGAATCAAATATGTATTTTCCAAGACATATGGATGTAGGAGCTGGGGGAAAGAATTCTGTTTGCACTACATGCTACTGTTGTTCCATATATCCTAGGCTGAAATTTCAGCAGCTTCAGCTACCAAAGTTCAGTGTAATCACTGTACATCCCCGTAATTTCCTCACCATTTTTTTGAGGAATAATGATAAATCTGTAACCACAGGTTTTGTAAATAGACTTTTTTTTTTTTTTTTAAAGGAAGGCATACTTAAAGGCTCATTAATTTTAAACACAAAGTTATTCTGGGGACAAAGACAACTACTGTTGCCAGACAGGGCTTGTGAGCTGACAATATCAGCAAAATCAAGAGAATGAAAGTGGATTAGAGAAGGAATTCTCAGTCAGGTGATTTAAAACCAGTTCATTTGCACATTTAATTCCATATTCTATAACTAGCAGGAAGAAGGCAACCATTTACTGGTGTTCAATACCCTTCTCTTTTCTCTTAAAGGTTAAAGCAGCACAAGCATTTAACTGAATCCACTGCAAAAAGAGACAGAACTCTATATATGGTAATACTACAGTTAAAAGTTTTGGATTCCTTTTTCTGTTTCTGAAACTTTTTTTTGTTTCTAAAATGCTACTCAGTAGTTTAACTACTCAGCTTAAGGGATGAAAGAGATCATCTTAGTAGACTTTTTCTTTCTCTAAAAAAAATGTATAATCTCCCTCTTAAAACACTTGGTTGAAATTGCAAAAAAACACATTCAAAATACTACATTTGAAACACTTTCTCATTATTAAAAGCTTACAACTTACAACTGTGCAAAGTCCTTGCAAAGTCCTACTGCACAATGGTTAACACTGTTCCCTCTATCATTAGCATCAATGACAGTAAGTTTCAGTAAAATAAGCAGCTAGATGCATCCTCTTTAGCAATCAGTGCTAAGGGAATGAAAAACGCATTGAGTAGACAGGCTGGCTTCAAAGCACTGAAATGCTTCCTAGTCTATTCCTGCCATTGGCTTTCATTCTCAGAGTTGTCAGCTATTCCTTCTGTTGTTTACACTAAATATTCATCAGTAAGACAAGATGTAAGTTTATTTTATCTTAATATGCCAAAACTGAGGGAAAACATCCAGATACACATAAAATATGGAATTAGTGGAACTTGCGGACAACTATTAGGCTGAATTAAAAAACTGGTGAGTCAGACAGAATGGGAAAGGGGTGGGGATGAGGTAGGGAACAAAAGTCATCTTTGTCTATAGAGAAGAGCTCAGTAGAAGACGTTTTAGCAGAGGCCCATGATTCCCTCTTCCTCCCCTCCCATTGCATTACCTTTTGAGTGGTTCTCAAGGAATTATAGTACCACAGCTTAAAGCAAGTTTCGAGCATGCCACTTCCTTAAGAGGTACCTGCTTTCCTGTAAGCAAAACCACAATCTTCCTCTGCTATACAGAATTACACAGAATAAAAAAAAACCACAGTAGATCACTCAAACGGTAGTGCCTGAATCAGGGCTACTGTACTGCACAAGCACTATGGGGCTGTATACACTACGTCAGCTGTTAACTATAGGGCCACTTTCCTCCCATTCTTGCCCTCCATGTGTCAGCTTACAGCTCCCCTTTCCAGGCTCACTCATTCAACTTCTCCCACAACCCAAGTCCCAATTTCTAGTTGAGAAGCAGCATTTAAAACTAACAGATTTGAATGTCATTAATAAAAAAACCCAAACAAACCAAAACCCAAAGATATAAAAAGCCCACCTCCAATGTAGGAACCACACCAAGTCTTGATACCTCTCTCCAAACCAGAGGTGCTAGGCTTAGCAATCAATTTTTTTTGCTTAATGTCTCAACTGCTCAGCCAAGCACCTGTAGGACAAGAATTTTATCAAACTCTTCTGTTAAAAAAATAAATATATATATATAAAAAAACAACCAGGAAATCCAAAATTAGGTACGAGGCTGCTGAGATTTTCAACGTGAACAGCTGAAGTCTGGCAAAAATTATACAGGCACGTAAGTGCACTCGGCTTTAGTTGGGTATTTTCCCCTCACTGCTGTTCCTTAAACATGCTAAATGACAGTCACGGTGAACGTCACCTACAGTAGCAAGGGGAAACAACAGCTAATTTGTATTCCTTCGTGCCATTCATATAGTGCTCATGAAGCATCAGTACGCTGCACATTACCCTCTCAAATGCAAAAATCACAATGTTTTCTACAGGATACACCGAAACAAAAACTGAATTGATTCAAGGCAGCCTAGCAAACTAGTCATTTAGTAAATCCTTCTGGCTCGACTGCTCGAATTCAGATACTCAGATCACACCCAGTCTCCAGTATGCGATTATTTGCCTAACGAGACGGAGCAGCCGAGGGGCACGATCGGGATGACTCCGGGTGAATTCCAGCTGCTGATGCCAAAGGACCACGAAGTTGTGGCAGCTGGGCATTTTCTAGATGACTGAAGCGTGGTACGGCGATTTCCCGTTACCCGTTCCTGCTCCCAGGTTAGCTGACAGAAGACCCCTACATGTCTGTCTATGTGACCACATAACGTACGTGCCCTCATGCAGCACAGGGAAAGCGAAGCGGCGCCAAGTTTGCGGCACAGTCCCCACTTCCCATGTTCAGGCGGGGTGTGATCAGTCACTCCCGGTGAACGCGACGGAGGAACTGACGCCCGTGCGAAGCACACACAGCGGGTCGGGGGGGCCACGAGGCAGCGCGGAGGCCCAGCGCATCCCCGTCCGTGCAGGGGGACCGGCCCGTGGGGGCTCCCGCCGCCAGTCTCCAGCCCAGCTCAATCCAGCAGCCCAGCCCGGCATGCCGCCGGCCGCAAGCGGGGGAACAACCCCAACCCCAACCCCAACCCCAACCCCAACCCAACCCCAACCCCAACCCCAACCCCAACCCCAGCCCCAGCCCCGTTCCCGGCCCAGCCGCGGGCGTGGCGGTGGCGCCCAGGCGCTGACAAACAACAGACAACGCCGCTGCCCCGTCCCCGTCCAGCCAGGCGCAGGCGTCGGGACTTCGGCTGCGCCCTCCCGGCAGGGCTCGGGAAAGGGGCACCGGGGCGGCGGCGGCACCCACCACGTCCCGCGGGACCCGCCACAGCGGCACTCACGCAGGCAGAGCTGGGTGACATAGGCGTAGTAGGACCAGCAGAGGATGCTGGAGATGAAGAGCACCGGCACCCAGTACAGCAGCCGCTGGCAGCGCCGCCGCACGCCGCCCCAGGTGCCCGCCGCCCTGCCTGGAAGCGGCGGCGGCTCTGCCGCCATCTTCCCGCACCGCATCCCTCCCGCCAGACCGTTCTCTCCGGGGGGCCGAGCCCCGGCCGCGCACCCCGCCGGAGCCCGCCCCGGCCCGGCCCCTCCCTCCCGCGCTGACAGGGTTCTCTGGCATGGCCGCTCCTCCCACTTTCCGCCCGCCCGCCTCTCTTCCCGGGCAGCGTCGGGCTGGCGAAGGGCTGCCCGGAGGGCGACGCCCCCCATCGGGGTCCTACAGGACCCGTGGCCGAGAGCCTGTCAGGAAAGGGGACTTTCCCGCCGCCTCCCATGAGTGATAGCGGGACCAGTGGAACGCACTCCTTGAAGTTGGGGTCCGGGCCCTGAGGCAGCTCGGCTCCCTCCAAAATGAGTTTCATGCCTCAAGCACTTAGCACATGCAGGAGCACTTGGGTATTAGGGGGCTGGAGACACCCATAACATCTTCCCCCATTGTAAGGTCCATTGTGGCTTCTTCCAGCTTTTCCTCCTCCAAAATAAGTGGATACTTAATGGAAATACTTTAAAACACCTCGTTAAGAAGGGCACTGCCTCACTTGCGAATCGTGTCTCGGAGTAAGGTACAACAGCAGCCAAGTGTGGCAGGCAGTCGTGTCACGCTGAGGTTGCCGCGGCTGGCCCTGTGCTCATCAGATGTTCGGCCAAGGGAAGGCGGCGTAGGGTTGTGCTGACTCACTCCTTCCCGAATAGCGTTATGGCCATCGTAATGAAATGCCTGTGGAATGTCATAGTAAACCCAGGCTGCGGTTTAGTGTTGGTGAATTACTGTTCCAGAATTAGGAATGCCGAGCATGGCCCGTAGTATTTCTGCAATCTGCTATAGTCTGTCAGAGCACCGGCGGCATGGGAGGTAGGAAGGAGCTTGGTTAAAATGTGTTTGGACTTTGAAAAAAGGCGTGTGTAATACCACACACTGGAGGCTGAAGTGAAGTAATCACAGCATGGAAGGTGTACAACTGCCTCTGATTGAGAAACAGGCTGCGAGGGAAGAAGAAAGCTGGAGAAAATATGACAAAAACAATAGTAGGTGTGCTGCCAGGTTCCAGAGGATGAAACAGAGAGAAAGGAAAAGAAGTTGACCATATGTCTGCTGTATTTTCATGTAATGCAAAACTTTGTGCCCCCCCTTATTGTAAGAGGAAGCGGAGTAATTCGTATAGTTATCATAGAAACGGATGGAATATGTGGTTAAAAGATCTGAACATAAGAACTTAAGAACAGATTCTGCATAATGGCAAATTATGTATTATACATCAAAAAAGCAGAGATGTAATGACTGGTGCTGAAAAACTACATTTGATATTCCTGCATACTGTATTTCACCAAACCCAACATGACATAAGCAATAAACCCTCTTTAGCTTACCATAATTAATTATGGAAGTCACCACATTTTAATACAATATTTAGAGGATTTGACTTCAGTATGTTTTAATGAGAACATCCATAGTTATTCAAAACAGACTTTAAAAGTATAAGATTACCCCATGCTTTACAAGCAAAAGTGAAAAGAAATTAAGGTAATTCAATTCATTTGCTGTTTTTTTGCACTAATTTGAGAGCAGATGACAGTGACCTCTCTCAGGTGCAAACGGTAACGCAACTAATGAGTTGTGTGTTTCCAGGGACACACAGCTGTACCACAAGAAGCTAGCAGACAGATGCCCTGTGTATAAGGATAAAAAAGGCTTTGTATTGTACTGGGGGGGGGAGCAATGAAAAGCTTCCTCCTATAAACCATTTTTAAATGCCGTATGTGTTATGGGGGTTATTAACAAGAATACATACCAGGGAAACATAGTAAACATCAGAGAAAGCTTTTTAATGCAGTAATTATTTGAATTAATAGTTATTATACAAAATTATGTACATCGAGAGATGGCAGTTTGCTAGAGATAATGGAATAAAAATATGATGTGTTACAAAGACCTCAAAATAAATCATACAATTCCTGGTATTAATTCCTGAAATGAGCTTTCTAACTCTAATTTCTAAATTCAGCTTTCTAACTTTTCTTTGGCCACTATCACCCTTTTCTCACTGCTGGGATTTCACAATAATCAGAGTTTTCTTGCTTAGCATGCTAATAATTACATGAATAATAATTATTATAGCATACTCTTTACCAGAGCTCCAAAATCATGGTCATTCTGGTTCAAATTTAGCCCATTTAGTCAAATAAACAGGCAAATTTCACTTCAATATAGTTGGGACAAAAAAGCCTGCCTTGACTGACACTCCCAGTTACCTTGAAGCATTCTTTGGTTAGAGACCTGTAAAGAATTCTTCTCCCCTACCCTTGCACTCTTGACTTCTCCCCCTGGATTTGGGCTCTCTCGCTCTTCTTCTTGCTTACAGTTCCTTTCTGTTCCTTGCACAACTCATAAGACACCCTTGTTTCTGTGCCTTTCCTCCTCCCTCCATGATATAACCTGCAGAAATTTTAGGTAACAGCAGAACAACTTGAGAGTGAGCATATTCAAAGGAGTGTTAGGCAGAAGTAAATCCTGGAATAATCTAAACCATTAGGTATTCATGGACAGATTTCCCAAATGACTCTGCTCAGGCAGCCTCTTTCTACAATAAGAGAAGTTACTTGGAACACAGATAATTGATGCTTGTGTGAAATATTCACAAGGTAGAGGAAATGAAGGTAATTTAGAGGCTTTTCTTCTTGTCAGGAGCTGGGGTTTGGGGAGGAGGCTTGAGTGCTTGACAAATGAAAACAAAATGTTCTTAAGTGGTACTCAGCTTTTCCCCTCAGGCAAGGTGTGTGCAAAGTATTGCTGGTGGATTTTTTAAAGAAGTGCCTCTCCTGGATTAGATTTGGGTATTTCTAACATTGCCACGTCTGACTATATCAAATTGTGTGACCTAGCTAGTGTTGAAGGGGCTGCCTCCTGCAGCCCTGGGGCTGGGCATCCTCCTGCCTAGCTGCTGGAGGCTAGCCTGGGGACCTGGCATCACTGCATTTTGACATGGTCCTTGTCCATCTGATCTTGCTTGAACTAGCATCCTCCTGTTCCACACCCCCTTACCAGTCAGTCTGGCTGGTCCCCACTATTGTCTCTTGAGTGTTGTTCGGTTGGGTTTGTGCTTCTGTATGTTTGGCTTCCCCCCTTCTCCTTGTCATACCATTTGACAAGGTCCTTCGTTACTGAAGGATGACTTTAATGAAGCAGGCACCCTCTCCTTCCACATATGCTGACAGGTAGATTCCAGCTGGGTTCAGATAAATAACCCAGCTGGATAGAGTGGACATAGTGCCTCTTTCTGAAGAAAGGCATCCCAGTACCCTAACACGCAGTCCCAATTAAAAACTACTCATGCACAAGTACTAGGGGGCTCTACTTTGGTGAACCACCTTTAGATAAATAATTACATTGTGGTTCTAATTGCCGACATTAAAAGTTCATTGATACTTATGGTCAGGTGATGCTGCATTTCTACAATGCTCATTGTAAATGGATATTATTCAGAGCATTTCGGGACATTTAAGAAGTAAGAAACTACTAGAAATTCTGGTGTGACTAAGTCATCTATCTAGAGCAAACAGTAGTAGGAGGTTTTTACACGTCTAATGAAGTTACACAGATGTCTTGAATATATTTTTTTTAAGATGTGATAAATAGTTCCTGATAATCTCATAAAGTAATGGTGGCAAAATGGAAGGAAGCAAAAAAAGCACGCTTAACATATGACAGAGAAAAATTACCTGTTACTGATAATGCAGCATAGCGAGTGTCTCTGGAGGTCAGTTTTGTGCCAGTTTGAAAGGTCATAAAATAAAAAAATAAAATGAGCCACAAAAGTGATTATGAAAATTAACAGTGTTCTCCTTATTATATGCATGAACTGAATACCACAATACTGCAGTAAGAGAGCATTTGGCTAACATTACGATAGCATTCACTTAGCCTCTTGGGGACTTAATATCCAAGGCTGGCTATAAATGTTCATATTTGCTGTGCATTCATAGGTTATGGTGAGAAGCTCGAAACATCCTGTGTGTATCTAGCTCATTACATGTCAGCTAAAAAATTACACTGAACACTTAAGACTACCATTACAACAACTGAGTGTGGAAAAGTAACACTTCATGTTACTGGATCATTTTAAAATGTCACAGACCTACTGTGCTAGAACAGTTTGAAAATGATAAAACATGATATATTTTTTAATCTCATAATAAATTCCTGATGATTTTAATCACGGTATTTCTTTTATTGTTTGGTCAATTAAAAAAATCCCAAACTGTATGCAGAATACAGTGAATAATAAATAAACATACATGAAAAATGCTTTTAATTTAACAAGTATTTTTCAGATTAGGAATTTACAGCTTACAGACTCTGAATATCTCCTCCTCTATGTAAGCAATCTGATATGATGGAATACTTTCTCTCCTGCCACTTCCCACATACTCAGTGGAACAGCAAGAAGAGGAGGGATAATAGGACAGGAGTATAAATATTTGCTCTCACAACAGTGCAATACACAGACCAGCAGCCAGAAGCAGGAATGCACATGGACACAGACATACAGGTACACGACACTAATGACATGACCCAGCGGCTCTGCAGGGATGCTCTCTACTTTCACAACAGCCATCATGCTGCTTGATTCTCCTCAGAATGCTTGGGTGTTGGACCACACTTAACACACATGGAAGAAGCAGCATCTCTGCAACATCACTTATGTCTAATGTAAGACATCACTTAGAAAATCTATGTTGCATCCCAGCTGGAGTCAAGTACCAACCGTGTATAGTTTGTGGCTCCCAGCTATATGAAAACAAGCAGCTTGGTTGCCTCTCCTGTCTCAATCTAGCTGTCAGATGCATTTTAGTTGAAGGACTAGCCTAGATGTATTAATCCACTTGCTGTCCCTTCATCCCAGCTAGGTACTCAGTTACTTACAAGTGGAAATTTGCCTGGTTCTCCACAGGAAAGGCTCATTTTTTTCAAGTCATGAAGTCCTTCCTGGAATTTCCTGATCGCAACCTGTCCTGTTTTCAGCTGGGATAGGCTTAATTTTCTTCCTAGTAGCAGGTGCAGTGCTGTGTTTTGGCTTC